GAAAAGAAAGAAAGAGAGATTTCATGTTTTAGTGTAGGGTTAAATTTCTTTTGAAACCTTAAATGGATACATTGCCTTTTGAAACCTATTTTCATGTTCAAGTAATAACCTTTGCTTTTGATACTGTAGCAAGTACTGTAGTTTACAGTTAAAATAGTTTTGAGGATGTTTACTTTGTGTTTTTCTCATGCTTTTTTGCCATTTTCCATATTTGCTTTTTGACTTGTCAGACAGAAGCATGTAGTTTGAAGTACTAATGAAGAAAACAGATGCATACCCAAGGGCCAAGAAAAACCCCTGGCGTTGCTCATGGCCAAAGTTGGAACCTAGCGAAAGATTAGACTGACATATTTTGGACAGATAAATGTTTAAAAATGTGTCATGCATGGTTGCCCTAATCACCATACACACCAACAGGCAAATATCTTTGATTGGTCGAAATTGACGTCGCAATCTGATGATTAATACAAATTTTTAAAGATCTCTCAAATCTTAATCATCCCAACGTTGTAATCTTAATTCCCTAACAACTAAGATTTCTTTTTGTATTGTTATTAATAAAAGAGTTGAATATGCATATGAGACAAGCTGAACAACAAAATGACACAAATGGAGACTAGGAGAGGGCAACATAAGTAGATTGTTTAATTAATGTGGAGCCCATTGTTATTAATCATGTTTAAATGTTTAATGACAACATGACTAATCGATGTTGAAAGGTTCATTAATAATGATTAATGACCCTATTTTGTTTTCTCACGTTTAAGTCCCCTCCCCCTCTAAACAAGAGGCAAACGATGCAAGAGAGACAAACATGTACGTAGAATCAAACAGAGTTGACCCGATGTTTCATGTTTGTGATAGTGCTTTTATCTGAACTTTATCTTTTGTTTTTCAAGGGGGCATTTCATATTGGGGGGGAGGCAAGGAGAGCAAGAAAGCAGACCAAACAATGCCTTGGATCTTTTCTTGATCATGTTTTGGGTGACAAAGAGTCTCCAAAAACAGTAAAATCATTACCATATTAGTGTTAATTCTGCTGTTTGCTGACCAGTCTTATCCTCTAATCATTCCTATATCAACCAGGCAAATCTATTGTCCCAACAACTACAAATAATCCAAGTGTGTTTTTAAAGTCAAACTTTCTCTTTTCTCCCTTTCTCCCTGCCCTAGAAAATGTGTAGATAAAATTTCTAAGGTCTATGCCATTCTTCTGTTCAAAATCGTTTAAATCATTCATCAGTTTCGGAGCCAAGTAATTAAAGGTCAAAGAAAAATGAACCAACCAACCATTGTGGATGTTTTAATGTAACAATAAATTTCTTCTGAAGCACTTTAAATAAAATAGTCAAAGTGATTAGGTAGCCTATTTATATTTTTTTTCCCATCCTCTTATGGGAATGCTAGATTTATTTACTAAGTGAAATTGGATAGAATATTTGATGGATATGTATTGATTCTGATCTTGATAATAGAATATTTAAAGTCTTAAGTAAGAATCCATTAATGCATTATTAATTTATTATGCAAAGGGACCACTTTCGAAACACTTACATCAAATCAGGTAAAAAAAGCATGGGTCAGTTTAAAATAATCTTCAGGTCCAGATTTTTAATTAAATGGAGAACAATGAGCATTAAAAGAAAATTAATCAAAACATGAGCTTAATTAAATTAATTTATACAATTACATTTGATAGATGATATTCAATAGAATAGAAGTTTGAATTTTAATATCTATAATTTTTTTATTTTTCGATTACGATATTTTTCATATAAAAATTTAATTAAATGTCTAGATTTCTATAGAGGAATGATAACATAAAATATAAGAAATAATGTAAAGCACTTTTAAGATCTTGCAAAGGCATCAAGATAGATAGTGTGGGACAGTGGGGAATAAATTAAGGTAGATGGTAGCTGGGGACAGCTTCTGATGCATAATTGCATGTATACATATCCTCTGGAAGTCACAAGGGCCAAAAAAGAAACATACCCAAACTTTGAAATGTGGAGAAAAGTGTGAAAATCTTGCTTACAAATGATAAATCTTTTTATTTTTAAGTCTGAAATGGTGGTCTAGCCCTAATGATCCCTTTCACTTCCTTTGCATGGGATTCTTATGGACCTTTCCTGCCACTTTTCAAGGTATCAAAACTCCTAGTATTATTGCCATGCCTTTTTTTTTTTCATTTGGTCCATCTGTTATTCTCAGCCACACTCCATAAAAAAAAAAAATGATGTTATCTCCTAATCATGAGAAAAGAGGAATTTTTATCTTTAACAAAGTTAAAATATATACTCATAATTAAAAATGATAATTTAAAATATAATATAATAATATAATACAAAATAATATAAATAAAAAATATGAAAATGATATAATTTAAAATTTTAGTAAAATTTATAAATAAATATAATAAATTAAAAAATATATATTATATTTTTATATCGATATGAATTATGACATATAATTTTTGTATAAAATTCGATACGATAACATAATTTATCAAATCTATTAAGAATTTTGTATTTCGGTCAACAAAAGGACAGAAATAGGTTTGAAGATTAGAATTGTATATAAAAAAAGTGGCTGAACATTGAGTTTGGGAAAATCAGAAGTGGTTTGCAGTTCAGAATTGAAGGAGAAAATGTATTGTTTTGAATATTATTTAAAAGATTATTATAAGTTTGCTTTTTGGTTTGAATCATAGAAAATCTTCCAAGTTGCACTAAAGGGCTGCAAATTCAATCATCAATGGCTTAGGAAATGGGATTGAATGGTTTATAACCTAAACCATAAATGTGTGTGAAAGAAACCATATGTATGGGCTGCCTTACTTGCTGCACTTTTTTTCCAGCTTTTTGACCAGATCAATGCTTGAAGGCCTCAATTCACTATTTTTGGCTGTTTCATTTTTTCTTCTTTTTTAAATTTTGAGGTGAAACAGGGGAGCTGAAGCTGATGGGACTCTGTGCTTTTAATTTTTTTTCATGGAAATAATGTAATTAAGTAGTAATTTTTTTATAGGCTTGTAAATAGTTAATACCATAGCTGAAGAAGGGAAATGGAAGAAGAAATATTAAACCTTTAACCAATTTGGAACTCAAGAATAAACAAATACTTGATCACCAAATATTCTAAGGATAGGTTTGGATTTCATCGTCTTTTCGGTATGATGTAATTGAGTTCATCACATCATCAATTAAATTTAAATATCAATTTTAATAAATTTATTTAATATAAAATTTTTAATCGTAATTATAATAATAATTATTATTATTATTTATTTTATCGAAACTAATCTCATCGTCAATCTAAATGAAATCAAAGCTATTTAGGGGATTCCCTTCATGTTTTTGTTGGTGTTGAGTTTCGAGTTGGGAGTCAAAATTCTAAAATCACAAGAAATACAAGAGAGCGGTTAAGAGCAAATGTAGATGTTCTTTGCATTTGCACTTTGACACTTAAATTAGAGGTCGGAACAAGATAGATTATAAATAAAGGAAAATAAGAAAGTAAAAAAAAGTTAGATTGGATTTATAGTACCTAAATACATCTATTTATGGTAGAAGGTGAGAATCTGTGTGATAAGATAATGACGTATCGAAGTTGATATGGCACTGTGCATGTCAAGTTGATTGCATAATATATTAAATCAATCCAAAAATTAAAAATATCTTTAATTATCTACTGATACTCTCTAATGAAGAAAAAACTGATTTGCCTAATTGAACTTGAAAATATTCCTAACACTTTTTAAGAAAAAAAATTAGTCAAGCAAATCCAAAATTTATTCCGTTAATTTATATAATCACTATTAAAAAATGATATTTAAAAAGCTTAAAATTTAAATCTCATATATATGTAATTTCTTTTATTATTATCAGATTACGACATTTTAATTAAAAAAAAAGAAATTTAGTATTTCTTTTATAGTTTCAACACATTAAGAAGTTTAATAAACTTAGATCGGACTCCTCCAAACCAAAGCAGACCCAATAACAAAAACTTCTGAATTGGAAGATTTTTAGATTTCCACCAATGGTAGCCCAGTTTCGAATGAGTGCTATTCTCTAGCTGTCCTGAAATACGCTAAATTCTTAATTCCCCATATTCAACAAGTCCATCAGGTCCAAAACCCATCCAAGCCCTGCAGGAAATTAGGCCACATCTGTTCCAAGCCCATTATTTAGAAGATCAAATGTCCGGTCCATCATAATTAATACATTTATTTGTAAAAATTAATAAAAAAAAGTAAAATAGTATTTTTGTTTACTAGATTAATAAAATAAATAAAATTATATTTATTTTATTTTTCAAGTTATATGTTGGTCTATTCTATATATATATTTTTTAATTTTAAGAATTTTCAATTTTTTTAATATATAATATCTTATAACCTTAACATAAATTAATTTTTTTATTCCGTATAAATTTAGTTCCATACAACAAAAAATTAAAGTCCTTATATTTGTTATCATAAAAATGTAATAACACATTAAAAATTTTAAAAAGAAAGAGATAAAATATCATTTTGCCAAAAAATAATATAACAACAAAAGAATAAACTCTCACCAACCACTTAAAATACAAAAAAATATTTTTGTTTTTACATTATATGATAAAAAAGCTAAATATTATAAATGATTATAAATTATAATAAAATATTTAATATAATATTTAAATTTAAATTTTTTTTAAATATTATATTTAAATTATAAATCTATTAAATAATATTATATTAAAAAATTATTTTTTATCATTTTTTATTATTTAAAATTAATTATATTAAAATTAAATATTACAATAATTATTAAATTCACGATTCAAATAACATGTTAAAATTTTTTAAATTCAATCATTTTATTAAATATTTTTTTATAACTTAAACTTAAAAATCTATCATGATATTATCCCAAAAAACTTTGACGCGGCAAGCTTTTTATTTTTTAATTCTTACATGCTTTCCACTTTAATAGATTCCATATTTTTTTTGCAGTCAAGTCCTTCAACTTTTACTTATTTCCCGTAACAGTTTCCGTTTCACTCTTTCCCACGTAACGATTTCAGTAGCCATCTCCCTTTTCTCTGCATTTTTTTCGAAGTCCTATTAAGAGACAAACTAAAAAATTGTACATTTTTCTTTACCTTAATCTCTAAGTTTTTGTTTCCTTCTTGCTTGAGATCGAACCCATTTCAAGAATGCTGGTGAAATGTTGAGGAGCTTCGGTTCTACGTTGTTAAAAGGATCAAATCTTGGTTCCCAAATGTTGTTTAATTGCGATATTGGCTGATTTGGAGGAAGGATGTTTGAGTTTTCTTTTTTTTTTTTTGGTTTTTTGTTTGGAAAAAGATTAGGGCTTTATTGATCTGGGTTGATAGGGTGATAAAGGTGTGAATTTTGAAGGTCTGGATGAATCTAGATTTTGCTTGTTTTGATGGTTTCATGCCTGATTAAAGAAATGGGTTTTAGTTATTTTTGAGTTTTATGAAGTTTATTGTGTGCTTTTGTTTGTTGGTATTGTAAGATGAAGAGGGTAAAAAGTGAACTTTCCACTGGGAGGAGGTTCAAGTTGTCTAATTTCTTGTTGGGTATAGGAGGGTTATACTTAATCTTCATAGCTTTTAAGTTTCCACATTTTTTGGAGATAGCAGCAATTTTGAGTGGAGATGATAGCTATGGTGGATTGGGTGGGAAAGTGGGTGGGGATGTTAATGATGCGGATTTGAGTAAACCATTGGTTAATTCTGTTTACAAAGATGCGTTTCACCGGAAATTAGAGGATAATCTAAACCAGGATGTGCCTTTGAGGCCTAGTAAGGAACCTTTGGAGGAAGAGAAAGGTGTAGTACAGCCTATAAAGCCACTTCAGCATCCATATGGTCGAATAACCGGTGAGATTATGCGGCGAATGAATAAAACTAGTGAATTGTCAGTGCTTGAGAGAATGGCGGATGAGGCTTGGACATTGGGATTAAAGGCATGGGAAGAAGTGGATAAGTTTGATGGAAAGGATATCGAACAGAGTTCTTTGTTTGAAGGGAAGCCTGAGTCCTGTCCTTCATGGTTGTCTGTAAGTGGAGAAGATTTGGCAAGACGAGACAGGCTGATGTTCCTTCCATGTGGTCTTAAAGCGGGTTCTTCAATTACTGTTGTTGGAACACCTCGATATGCCCATCAGGAGTTTGTACCCCAGCTTGCCAAATTGAGGTTTGGAGATGGCCTAGTGATGGTTTCACAGTTTATGGTTGAATTGCAAGGGTTGAAATCTGTGGATGGGGAGGATCCGCCAAAAATTTTACATTTAAATCCTCGATTGAAAGGAGATTGGAGCCATGGGCCAGTCATTGAGCACAACACATGCTATAGAATGCAATGGGGTACGGCTCAAAGATGTGATGGTTTACCATCCAAGGATGATGAAGACATGCTCGGTAAAATTTTATCAAGCATCAATAGTTTTCAGTTTTTTTCTCCTTGTTTATTTTTCCTCTTAAATAGTTAAATTTGTCATACATTTGTCCTTGGGGGAATAAAAAAAAATTACCAAGTTTATAACTGTTTGGAAATAACCTGTTATGCCAATTTTTTGTTGGAAAATGAGATGATAAATAAATTTGTGACTAAATGTCAAGAAACTAGAACATTACAGTAATTTTGGAATTCTATTGGTCTATTGGATTTATTCAATTCCTTTAATATATCAATGAAAACAGGCTGGAATTGTTTAGAAAGATTTCTGGTTTTTGCTTAATTGCTTTAAGGAAGATTATGCTCGCTAGGAGCATTAGAAGAAGGCTTGTAAGCTGGTAATTTAGGGGAAGTTATTTCCAGTTGAAGCACTTTGTTATGCTTGTGTTTTCATGTGACTACATGCTAGAAGAATATGAAGGAGGGACATGTTACGTGTATGGTATTTTGCGTGGCAGTGAGAGTGCTTTCATGTAGTATTTTTGTGGTCTTGTTCAATTTATTTCTTCGATTTTTGTTTGTGTGTTTGAGTTTTGAAAATTTCCAAGGACATTTATCCAGTATCCATACTTTTGGCAGTTGATGGACATCGAAGATGTGAAAAATGGATCCGGAACGATGTTGTAAACTCCAAAGAGTCCAAGACAACATCTTGGTTCAAACGGTTCATCGGACGGGAACAGAAACCAGAAGTTACGTGGCCATTTCCATTTGCAGAGGGCAGACTGTTTATCCTGACTCTGCGTGCTGGTGTTGATGGATATCATATCAATGTTGGGGGTCGACATGTGACTTCATTTGCATATCGTACAGTATGTTGGTTAATTTTAAGAAAAAGTTATGTTTGTGCTTTCCAACATCTCCATCAAGGCATCTAACTTTCATGGTTCATAGCCTTGGAAATCTCACACTATGATTGCAAAAATAAAAACAAAATTGTATTTTCAGGGTTTTTCACTTGAAGATGCAACAGGATTGGCCATAAAAGGAGACGTGGATGTTCATTCAGTTTATGCAACCTCTCTTCCCACCTCTCATCCAAGTTTCTCTCCTCAACGAGTATTGGAAATGTCACCAAATTGGAAAGCTTATCCTTTGCCTAGGATATCTATTCAACTTTTTATTGGGGTTCTCTCTGCTACCAATCACTTTGCAGAACGCATGGCAGTTAGAAAAACTTGGATGCAATCTTCGGCCATCAAGTCTTCAAATGTAGTGGTCAGGTTCTTTGTTGCACTGGTGAGGTCTCTCATTTTAACTCCCTTAATTTTAACTCCCTTAAGAATTTAAAATCATGTTAAATGCCTGAATATCATGCATGCTAATTTCAATTTGTTTCACTAATATCTACATGAGATTATGGAAACAAGTGTTGGTATGTCTGTTGGCCAGCATGGCTTTTATTTATTCATATACTCTTTCTGGTTCCTAAGTAGCTGTCCTTTTTTGAGACATTCGTCTCTAGCCATTGAGTGTACATTGTTTGTTTGAATATTTTTGTCTCGACTCATTTATAATAAATTGCAGAATCCGAGGAAGGAGGTGAACGCAGAGCTGAAGAAAGAGGCAGCTTATTTTGGTGATATTGTGATTTTGCCATTTATGGACCGCTATGAGCTTGTCGTTCTTAAAACTATTGCAATTTGTGAATTTGGGGTGAGTTCATGGTTTATCCTTCTTTCATTTCCTATCTTTAAAAGGTCATCCGATTCATTCACTCTTGTCCACGAATATCATTTTTCTAGATTTATGTGTTTTGCTGGGTTGAATTTCTTTTAAAGATTATTCTGATTCTCCAAATTTTTTCCTTGCAGGTGCAAAATGTGTCAGCTGCTTACATCATGAAATGTGATGATGACACATTTGTCAGAGTTGATACTGTCTTGAAAGAAATTGATGGCATCTCGCCCAAAAGGTCACTTTATATGGGCAATCTCAACCTCCTGCATCGTCCTTTGAGAAATGGAAAATGGGCTGTCACTTTTGAGGTATGCATATATATATATATATATTTGTACTTTTTGTGATTTTCCATCATTATGTGTCTTCTCCATTTTAAAAGGCCATGTTCACTTTCATTCCATTTCCAATTTTCAGCCGCAAAATGCAAAGTTGTCTGAACTCTGAAACTGTTAATGCTGGTGTGTAAACATAAAGCTGCAAATTGATGTTCTTTGCTGTGGTCTTTCTAATCTCATATTTACGTGATTAAGCATTTAATTACTTATCTATTTGACTAGTTCTAAAATTTCTTTACCGTCAACTTTGTTGTGTTAGAAGCATTCTAAGTATTTGAAAGTAAATAAACTCTTTGGCTTGGATCTCTTGCTTCAAGAATTAAATTAATTGCTGAGAATTTCTTAATGCCAACCTATTTCTCAAGGATTATTGTCTGATTTAACAGGAGTGGCCAGAAGAAGTTTATCCTCCCTATGCCAATGGACCTGGATATATCATTTCCAGTGATGTTGCCCAATTTATTGTCACCCAACATGGCAATCGAAAATTGAGGGTTAGTTATTAAAAAAAAAATTTCTTATTGACTCCACTTTCTCTGCAGATTATCTGCTTCTTTCCTTTTCTAGAAAAAATTTACAAGTATTTTATTTTAATTCCCCTTTTCTTCCTATCTAGTCTCTTTTGGTTTTGAAAATATCTTTGTTGTCTTCCTATCTGCCTCATCAGTTTGATCGGATTCGACTTCCTTGTTTTATTTATTGACAGCTTTTCAAGATGGAAGATGTGAGTATGGGAATGTGGGTTGAACAATTTAACAGGTCCACGACTGTCCAATATTCCCACAACTGGAAGTTCTGTCAATATGGATGCATCGTAGATTATTATACTGCACATTACCAATCCCCAAGGCAGATGATTTGTCTTTGGGACAAGCTTTCGAGAGGTCAGGTACGTTGCTGTAACTTCAGATGACAACAGGTAGCTCTTGCTTTCTTTAAAGTGATTTTATCCACGTCCATCTTGCCTTCCTCAACTTTTCTCCCCCATTTTTGTCCTATGAAGTGAGCTCTAGAGGGTTTTAAGTGTTGAGTTACAGCTTTCTGTAACAAGATACAGATTATTCCCCTTAATCTGTCACATCTGATAAGTACGTCATTGACTTGAATTGGAAGAACAGGGCCAATTGTAGATTATATATTCTTATATGCGTTATGATATTCAAGTCGATGGAGCACTTGGTAGCAAGCCTTCCAAGTTCGTAGTTTTGGTTTCTTTGACCTTTTTTTTTTTTAATCCACTTTCAATCTTCCTGTAATCTGAATAACAATATCTTTAACAGCCAGATAATTGAAAACGAAGTTAGCGTGTAGCTGCCAATTAGCTTGGTAAGACGGCTTTTCTTCTTCTCTTCTTATGTCCAATTACCAACCATTTGTTCCACTAAAGCCCAAGAAACGTGGGATTTAGCTCAATCATGGTGATTTTCACTGTTAATACCCGTACCAGATAATATTTTGGCTTTTTTAAAAAATATGATATATACCGGTAGTGATTGTTTCAATATATTATTTTAGATTTTTTAATTTTGTACAAATATATTTATAAATATATATGAATTTGTATATTATAATATTATTAATAATTTATAAGATAAATATGTAGTATATTCAAAAATCAAATAAATAATTTTAAAAGCATAAAAATTAGTATCATAAATTTTTTGTAATATTTTTATATACTTAATTTGATTATATGATATTTAAATAAGTATTTTTCATATAAATATTAAGATAAAAACAAAAAGATAAAAAAAAATTAATCTAAGGTTTTATGATTGTTAAATTTTATAAAAGCATAATAATTGTTTTCACAAAAAAAAGAAATATTTATAAATATTGATTTGAAAAAATAAAGTAAAAAAATTAAAATACAAAATAAAGAAACTTAAATTTTAAGGATTATTTTGTTAATTTTATTTTTATTAAGTTAAAAATAATTAAAGAACAAAAAATAACTTAAAGATTACAAATTATATTTTACATTTACGTATAGGTCAAAATATATTATTTTATCAAAATTTATTGAAATAAATTAAAATTAATGAAAATAATTAATATTATTTAATGTCAAATTTGATATGAATTCGATAAAAAAATTATTTTTAAATATATTGTATTTTAATATAAATATGCATGTAACATCATTCATGGGTATGAGATCATTCATCTAATAATTTATCTTCAATTAATCATATAAAGTACAATTGTACTTGTTAATATTATATTCTTATTATTTAATTTTATACTAAAAAAATTATTTTTAAATATATTATATTTTGATATAATAAAAACGCATTGATCGATATCGAAACGAAATTAATAATTATACGTGAAACATCGGCCGTTGGTATGACATCGTTCATCCAATAATTTATCTTCAGCTAATCATATAAAGAACGGTTGTACTTGTTATTATTATTTAATTTTATGCCAAAAAATGTGTCTGTCGGGCACATTCATGAACTACTGAGACTTGGAATTTATTCTGCTTATGCATTCTTGGGGGCTGGTGCCATGTCTCCTCCTCTTCTCATATATAGCTACTGCATGGACTACTTGGAATGGATCATGGCCTATTCTACCGAGCCTCACTGCTCTGGTTAGCTTCTAGGGCCATTGATCACAAGGCTTTTTGGTACCTAACTGGTCGAAGGGGACATTTGGATTTTTTCCTCCCTAAAAAGAAAGAACGACATTTGGATTTTATTGAGAAGCTGTCTGATGAAGCAGCCGATGTTTCCTGGGACGTTGTTATTAACGTTGTTATAATTATAATAAATCATCTTAATTTGACCATATATGCTACTCTTCCTTCCTCTTTAACAATGGTATTTTGCTCGTTTCTCTACCCAAACGATATCGGAATGCAGAGATAGAAGCAGCTAGGGACTTTTATACCATCATTTACCATGAATCTAGATCATATATTAAAAAACAGAATATATATATATATATATAATCAGCCATCAAAAACTTATTCATTTTTCAGCCTTTTTATTGCTTCAGCCATAAAAAACTTACTCATTTATCAGCTTTTTATTGCTTCACTTATTAATACTTTACAATTTAAGGTGAGAATATATAGAAAGCATTCTTCAAGTACTTTTACCAGATATGTTGGCCAAGGTGCAACAAGGAAGAAACCGACCAAGGGCCAGGGCAGGTCACACGACTTTTCCCGAAGGCATCGTTATTAGAGTCAAGGTGTCCAACGTTAGAAGGTGGGATCGATCCAATTTTTTGAATAATTGATCCTACTTTGATAACTCACATGTGAAACATAATGCCATCTGAGGTAATCAATGGCAAGTACGTACCCCACCTTGCTTCTTAATGATGGTAATGGACGGCAATACTTGTCTAAAAACCATGTACAGTCACTTTCAATAACCTAACTGCGGGTCCCGTTGGGGTAATCAGACGCTAACTCGAAGCTTAAAGACAATTACAACTAGCTATCTACACTCTTTCTGCTTCATCACTATTTGATTAAGGTGCTAATATCAATTAATAGTTAAACAATGAATGAGAAATGTGTGAAATGGAATTATTTTAACTTCCAAATCATATACAAGAAACTGAAAAACCAACATTACGCGTTGAATGTCAACTTCTACTTCTTTGCTGTTTCTGTGTTCCTTCTGCCTAAACTTTTCCTCCAATAAATTGTTAGCCATAGGCCCCTTAGTCCAAATAAACAATTCTAGTCAACATTTTAATATGTCAAGTTCTGATCAAAGAGAGTGAGTCTACAATGTACGGATCACGTTGTTTTAGTCTCCCACGTATTCTCGGAAATCCGATGTTTTCATATTGAAACTTTGCCTTACATATATCTCCTCCTATTATACAATTCCTCTTGCACTTTGCAAACCTTGGTCTCCGCAAGGATCAAACTCCCCTAGCATTTCCTGGTCATTTGCTGGCCAAACCAAAAGATTTTGCTACCAATTCTTGTATTATATCATCAATCATGGCCTTGTCAACAATGATCCATAACCATCTTCCAACCACTCTCAGCACCGGTGTTAACCGGATTTCTGCCATCCATGGCCATCAGGAAGTTGTTTTTGATCTCCCGAAAACTAATAAGACATCGAATAGGGGTGCTCGACGTCTGGCTGAATCACTATCAAACCTTCTTCACCTCCATATCGAACCCCCTTCTTCAAGGAAAAATCTTCAACTTTCCAGCTGGGATTTGATTGATGAAGAGAAACATAATACCCCAACAACTTCTCCCAAGGAGTTGGTTGCTGATAAATGGCGTGATATTCATGGTTCTATGGATTGGGACAGTCTTTTAGACCCACTTCACCCTTGGCTGCGGCGAGAAATTGTCAAGTATGGAGAGTTTGCTCAAGCAACGTATGATGCTTTTGACTTTGATTCCTTTTCGGAGTATTGCGGAAGCTGCAGGTACAATCGTAACAAGCTTTTTGAGAAAGTAGGCCTTGGTAAAAATGGTTATAAGGTGACCAAGTACATCTATGCTATGTCACATGTTGAAATGCCACAGTGGCTGGAGAGGTCACACTTGATGGACACGTGGAGCAAACATTCCAACTGGATGGGTTACGTGGCGGTTAGCGACGATGAGGAGACCCATAGGATCGGACGGAGAGATATTGTGGTGGCCTGGCGGGGAACGGTGGCACCATCCGAGTGGTATGAGGATTTTCAAAGGAACTTGGAACCAATAGGGGTTGGAGATGCCAAAGTTGAACATGGGTTTCTTAGCATTTACACTTCCAAGAATGAATCCTCAAGATACAACAAGTCAAGTGCTTCGGAGCAAGTCATGAAAGAAGTGATAAAGCTGGTGCAATTCTACCAAGGAAACGGTGAAGAAGTAAGTTTAACAATAACCGGGCATAGCTTGGGTGGTGCATTGGCTCTGCTCAATGCCTATGAAGCTGCAACCGATCTTCCAGGCCTTCATGTTAGTGTGATTTCCTTCGGCGCACCTAGAGTTGGCAACAGTGCCTTCCGGGACGAGCTGGATGAATTAGGAGTTAAAACTTTGAGAGTGGTAGTTAAGCAAGATTTAGTCCCTAGAATGCCAGGGATTGTTTTCAATGAGAGTTTACAACGGTTTGATGATATAACAGGAACATTGGAATGGGTTTATACACATGTTGGAGCTGAATTGAGGCTGGATGTTAGTTCATCACCTTACCTCAAGCGTGGATTCAATCCCTTGGGATTTCATAGCCTTGAGACATACCTTCACCTTGTCGATGGGTTCCTCAGCACAGACTCTACATTTCGATCTAATGCTCGTAGGGATGTTAGCTTGGTGAATAAGGCATGTGATATTTTGGTGGATGAACTAAGAATCCCTAGCTGCTGGTACCAATTGGCTAACAAAGGATTGGTTTGTAATGAACATGGCAGATGGGTTAAACCAAGAAGAGAACCTGAAGACATTCCCTCACCAATTGGAGAAGCACATGACCATAACCTTAGAATTGAGATGCAGGAAAGTTATCAAATGTCGTATGCAAGCTAAAAACGTATGGCTATTGATCAAGAAATGAAAAAGCATTTTTTGAAAATTCATTTCTTTGCATTTTCATTTTCTACGAGTCAAAGTTGGCTTTCAATACTTTAATTAAGATAAAAACTCCAATCCATCAATAAAAAAACTAAAAAAAAAAAATCAATACTTTCCAATAATTATTTCCTCCTAAAACTCAAACAATGCTATATTCTTTTCAACTCTGTAGATATAATAGCTTTACCATATAACTTTAACATTGTATCAACAAAGTTGTCCATCTGTCCTCCCCAAAGAGCATCCAGTCCATGAGTAGCCCTTTTCCATGTGATTTCTATTTGCTATCATGTCTAGTGTCTAAATGTTTCTCACTAGATTATTGTTTTCCGGTGAATGCAGAGCTACCCTCCATTTACTTCCTTTCATTCCCTTTTTATCATTCTTTATGTTCCCTCATGCATATAATTTAAGGTAATTTGCATAACAATCATTTACTGTTTTTGCATAACAATCGTTTACTGTTTGACAAGGCAATGAATATGTAAATCGGAAAGCTTGAAAGTTGAGGTATCAGCAGTCATTTCAATTCAGTAGTATAGCAGGGTATGATGCATATGCCTATATAGGCATTTGAGATATATTGGACAGCATGCAATTCGTATCTGTTATTTACACATTTCATGAGAATCTACTTTCAGTTTGTGACATATACAGCAATTTACTTTTGTGAATACATGGACGCCTGTCATATCAAGTAGTAAAGGAAGATACAAAAAAACTGCACAGATATATATTTGAATGTGATCTACTTAACAGGCAGTATTCATTCAAATTGGCAAAACAGTCTTCACGTCCTTGTGTATTGTTCTAATCACTGTAGTAACCTGCTCTATCTGATCATCACTAGAACATGCTGAGAGAAGTACCTTGGCAGTTCCTCCATCTGGGTAACAGCCAGCGTCAATCATTTCCTCAAAAATTTCCAAGCATCTTGTATATAGTTTCTTTCTAGAGTAGGCTCCAAGTCGTGAAGTCCAGGTCACCACATCAGGTGTCAAATTCTTGGCAGGAAGCAACTGGAATAGCTCTTCCATTCTCTCAAAATATCCAGCCCGTCCATAAACATTGATCAAAATGTTGTACGTGCTAATATCAGCTTTATATGGTCCCTTTTCCATTGCAATTAAAACTTTCTCCATGTTTTCAATTTGGCCTAACCGGCCATACAGGTTCAACATACTGTTGAGGACAAAGGTATCTGGTTCAAGTCCAGATTTGTGCATTTGGTTTACAATATTCTCACACTTAGCTATATTGCCAACTCTAGAGTAGGCAGATAGGAGTAGCATGTGAGATTTCATCGTTGGGGTTATTCCTAGCCGCTTCATCTCTTCAAATACCGATTCAGCATCTGAAATATATATGTAAAGAAGTCAAAACACATGAGAACAGTATCTGGTGACAAATTGACAGTCAAGCTACATTGAAGTTATACTATGTTGGACTAGAAAAATCATATACTAACTAATATGAATCAAATAGTATCTTGAAAAGAATGCCATCGCTGATTTACTTTTTCTCATGAAAATAAAAATTCCCCACTTCAGTCAAATAACAATAATGACAAGAGTTATATGTCCTTGTTTGTTTCCATTTTATCTCTTTCAAGAAACATCCCTTTAGACTAAGAGGAAATTACAAGCTTCAAGTTCTTGTGAGATTTTCAGGATAGAGGCATGCAGTCTGGGCTTCAAAAGATGTCTGCGAGGTAATTCCTTGGTAACAACAGATTTTCAGTTCTTGGTAATTACCCTCATAAAGACCAGCTCTACCGTATGCATCAACCATGATATTAAAGGAAGCTCTGTCTGGTTCACACCCCATGTGCTGCATGAGTGAAAACACTTCTGATGCCCCGTAAGGATAACCTGCACGACTGTTAGGGATAAAAGAGTCAAAAAAGTTTTGGTCATACCTGGATGCAACTTCAATAAAAAATAACCTTTGATGATGGATCATTGCTTAATTGCCTTGAAAAGATCCGTAATCAGGCTCAAAGAACTTAACTCCAGTTAGTCCAATTAATCTTCTGACCGTAGAACATCAGCACTACTAACTTATTGGCCAGAATCAGGAAGTATAGAATGATAAAGGATTTGAACCTGTAAGCTTCCATGAGGGCATTGTAAGCATACACATCAGGCTCATGCCCAGCTTCTTGAAGCTGCTCAAAAATCTCTTCAGCCTTCTCACAGAGTCCCTCCCTAGCAAAAGCATTCATCAAAACAGTGTATGTGCAGATATTTGGTTTAAACTTTTGACTTCTCATTTCATCAAATAATTTCAGGGCCATATACGATTTGCTTGCCTGCATAGAAAAATAGCATATATGAACCTTCAAATTAAGTTTTAGTTACATAACGTTTTAATTTTTGTTGACACCTGATGATCTTATCTAGTGAGCATAATCTGAATGAGGGCAGTGCAATGATATCAGAGAAGCCTGATAATTTGTTATTTTTAATTTACCTTCCCGTATAAGTTGATCATCAGTGTGTAAGTTTCAGTAGATAGTTGGCAGCCATCTCTCTTCATCCGCTGAAAGACTTCTATAGCTTTTTGAGACTTTCCTCCTTTCATCAACCCATCAATATAAGCATTGTAAACAACTGCACCTGAAGAGAAGATCCTTTATGTAAATTCATTGTAAATGATAGATTAGCTCTATTCAATATCAAAGATTACATGCAGTAAAATGCATGCAAATCTAAGTCCTTCAATCCATGCTCAGATTGCATTAAAATCAAGAAAATAAAATGCAGAGATTACCAGAATTCCATGGTTTCACAAGATAGCAATGATTCTATAGGTATCTAATGGATCCCTATACAAAATAAAATAACAGTCAGGTGGTAACAAAATAAGACTATAGACATACTTGGGGGAAGGCCATACTTTCTCATCTCGGCAAAGACAGCTTCAGCTTTTTGTTTCAGCCCAGCTGTGCAGTAGGCCTTGATAAGAAGGGCATAAGTATCTTCGGTTGGTACACATCGAGCCTCGAGAAGTTCTAAGTATGTAGATTCCGCTTTCTTGTATAGAGACTTCTGTCCATAAGCATCTATGAGCAAATTGAAGCACATAACATCCAGCTGAAAGGAGCTCCTGTGCAATATCCATTCACAAAGCTGTAGAAATAATAGCAAATTAGCAATACACTCAATAAGATTATAAGAAAGCCAAATTTACATAATTGAATACTAAAAAAGAGCATGCATTTACAGTTAATCCCACTCAAAATCTTGAAGAAAAGAACAAAAAATGTGATACTAATAGTGATTTTATCTTTCTTACCAGCACAATTGGATTCCATTTTTTATTCAAACGAAGTTGAACAGCTACATTAATAAGATCATCCCAAGTAGTATGAGTGGGAGAAAGATTATCAAGAGAACCCCAAACTCTATCAGCGTCAACCTCCTTCTGTACAAAATCCAAAATCTGCTGAGCAATGGGGCTCAAAACAGGGAAAACTCCATCCACAAAACCAGAACCATATTTCCATCCTTGTCCTCTTAAAGAACCACCTACATGAAGAACATAAAAGTCTAAAACTAATCAAAACTGATATATATATATATATATATATATGAGTGTTGAAACTGAAATGATGATGATACTACTTCGTTTCCTGGACAGTTTTTTGTGATGAAAGGTCCGCAATTTGCCACGTTTGTCAATGTAAACACCATCACGTTTCCATTTCTCAATAGCTACATCACTTGAAGAACTCTTTGCTACCCATGTGAAACTAGGCCTATGGCTTCTTGGTTCAATATAAACATAGTTGAGCGCACTGTTTCCAACAACCAGCCTAGACAGATTTGTCCCCTTTCTCGTTAGTTGAAACCCAGAGGCAGTTCACAAAACAAAGCAAATGCCACTTAAACAAGCAAAAAATATAAGAGAAAGAGCAAGTAGTAATAAGAAAACTGCCCCAGAAAGAAAGTCAGAAACAGATATAAAAATGGAAGTGAAGCAAGAAGTAGGTTGCACTGATAGAAGAGCTAAGAAATGAACTTAACATGAATACAAAGAGGAGCTTCCAGTTTGAAAGCTTGAGAGTTGAGAATTTCCTTTCCAAAAGATAACGTGCAGAGAGAACGAGGATAATGCAGACAAAAATACTTACAAATATCTTAAGATATGATATGTAATGTAAGAAACCTGTTTTCTTTTAACAATAGGAGAATGAAAACAAAAGAAAAGAAATACTTTTTCTATTAACCTTTTGTTTTAGATATTTCCAAAAGCTGAGGTATTTGGAAAAATATAATAAAAAGGTGACATAATTCTGCATTATTAATCTTTATTAGGACTCAGAATCTCTTCATATATTATTAGGGTTAATTCGGTTTTATTTGAAAATTTGATACTTAAAACTCAATTCAAGCTTATTTTTTATGCTTGAGCTCATCTCATAATTTAATTAAATCATTCTATTTTGACTTGATAAAATTATAAATATTAATATTAAATAAAAAATATTTTTATTATTTACTTATATATATTAAATATATTAAAAAATAAAAATTTGATTACTTTGAAATTTTAAAAGAAAAATTAGAAAGGAATATAGAATAGAAATATAACCCATTGATACGGGCAGAGCCGCCCAAAAAATTTCTGTAAATAATGGGAATTCTTGCTTGGCATTGATATGAAGGATGAAATTTCGACCATATCTTCTAACAGTGGCTTCATGGAGATTGGAAGATCTAGTTTAACCATGGAAAACTACCATTGAACCAAGAAATTATACCATAAAAGATATCTGTAACCTAGAGCAAGCATTTAGTGAGAAAGCTGGATTAAGAATAATCAAAGAGAATGTGAATTCCAAGTATAGATGCACATCTCACAGAGGATTTCATTTCCAAGATCATGCAGACATTGGAAAAGTGTTTGTTTTCAATTCCCGGTGCATCACCTACAACATTTGACCGAAATGAGTCTAAAAATAAATGTTGCATAAAATAAACACTTCCAGATTGTCTCGAGTGAGAAGACAAGCTACTCGACTTCAGCCAAATAGTCATCAATTTCAGCTGGGGTCAGTACCCTGCAAGGAAGCAATCACAATAAGAGTAATTCAGCCACCAGAAAAGGAACGATTTCGTGATCAGAGAACCAAGACAGAAACAATCATTCTGAAATTCAGAAATAAAAACTACATGAACAATAATAATTATTGGAATATGCAAGGCACTGGTGCTGATTGCAGCAGGTAAAACAGCACCACTTTCAGAAGTGCATTTCACAAAGGTCACTTCTGGCACTTCCTAAAGCCAAAAGGCCATATCCCCATCAGCATAATGCCAGGGAAAAATTTAGAAAGAGGGGGAAAAGAGTCAAAGCAGGGCTTGCCTGAATTTTTTGTCAGTTCCAATAATCCCAATTTCAATGTTTTTCCCTGAGATTTGTCCTTCAAATCTGCACAATTTAGAAAATGGCTCGTAAGATAACTAAAGACACACCATGTTAGCGACCACCTTAGACCAACAATTTTTCTCAATGTTCTTTGAAATATAAGATCATAAATCTTCCTAAAGTGTAACATATAAATAACCAGGTGGAGGAAATTTTAACATCGACAGTTACCCCTCTTTGAGAGTCAAAATAGCAGTATGCACGGCATCATCAAGCTCCATATCATCAGTGTATCTACAATGAAAGACCATAATCAACTGAATCTTCAGTGTTTCAACAACAATGAAATGGACGGTAAATGAAAGTCCAACTTCATTCTGGAAAAGATGCATATTTATTGTACAACCCTTTGCTGAATAAATTGCCATCTAATCTCTACCATTTCCTAAAGATTATTGGGAGATTAAAATTGAACAGACAAAATAAAATTTACTTAAGACCTATCCCCTCCTCTCCAACCCCAAATTTTGAGAAACATGAGAAATTAGACTATTGAGGGGAGGAGAAGGGAATGTAGAAACTCTCCCAACCCCCTCTCTCAGCTTGTTAAAATTAGGGTCTTCCTTTCCTCTGTCTCCTTCCCCTCCATCCAAAAGGTTACTATGAAAAAAGTGGTCATCCTATGGTCACTTCATGGAGCAACCATTAATTAGATCATGCAATCATAGTCTGCCGCCTAGAAGGAAGAGTCCTATCAATAAAATCAAGAGCAGCAAAGACAAAAATTGGATGCCACAACCATCTGTAAGAAAGGTTACAAAAGAAGTTCTGACTGGTGACTGCTATGTGACAGTGACACCACCAGTCATATCAAATACCAGTAAAGAACACAATCAACATAACACAGCAAAGAAACTCTCAATAAACTTAGTTTTGCATGCTATAAGAACCGGATTTTAGAGCAAATACCTCTTCTCAAGAAATGTTTTTGCATTTGAGACATTTTTACCCATTGCCGACGCTTTCCATGAGAAATAAGAACCGGACGGATCCACCTAGCAAAAAGGAATAGAATCATACAGCTGAAAAACACATAACATATTCTATACAATCTCTACTTGTGGTAATATAATCAAATATTTATGAGAAATACTTGATACAGTTGTGGACCATTGTCATCATATCCAGCAACCAGTAGAGACACGCCAAAAGGCCTTACACCACTACAAAGAAAAAGACAGATGCGTCAACTTAACTATCAAGTCCAGAAGATTGCACAATTGTCAATTTCCACTTTTTGATCCAGTTCAAATTGACCCAATGTAACAGCAATTTTCTTAGCAAAGGCATGTGACAAAGTAGTGATCTATAACATTGCAATTTTTCTCATAATTTTCATTCTCACATTCCACTTTCAGCTCCCACATCATGCACAAATCTTAAGGCCAAAATTACATTCGAAGAAACTTTATAATATAAAAAAAGTTCTAAGAAAAAACCTTATATTAAAATCATTTGCTACTTTCTTCTAGGACAAATAAAACTAACTATTTTACAAACAACAGCCCAAATTTCACTTATAAGAAACTGCCAAACTCCAAACATTCAGACTCCTCAAACTCTTTGTCATAATTCTGAGAAAAGGAAAGGAAAAAGGGAAGAAGGATGGTTGATGTACATAAGGACATAATTTTTACCCAGACTGAGTAAACTCCTGCATAACAGCTGCAGTTTCCCTTACAAGTTGTGTTACTGGAATAGGTTCCTGCAACCACAAATTTTGCAGACAAGTCAGAAAGCCATGCAAGATACAACAACATATGACCTTTTATTTTGAACTAAGTAGTTATTGAACCAAACGTATAAAGGTAAATGTATAAATAAGATTAACTTTGATCAACAGACCAAGGCTGGATTTTACACCCATGATTTGATCTGAAATTAATTTTTCAGCACAATAAAGCAGTAAATTAAATAATTAAGCATCATTAACAGCCATCAATACCTTATACAACCTATGATATTGTTCTGCCTGCTTCCTACTTTTCCGAACCAAAACCCGAAAATCAGGACCCATACCACTACAGAAAAGTATGAGAAAGTATCAATGAATCTATATATATCTCACAAGTAGAGAAGTTATATTATCAGCAAATAACTGGATTAAACACAGAAACTGTCACAAGCATACTTATTTAGAAGCCTAATAATCCCAACTACTTATTTTGGTACACAAAAATGCATGTTAAACTTTCTACATACCCAGCCTTCCCTTTCAAAATCAAAAGAAGAGTCTCCTTTCCTTTGTTGCAGATAGCAATATGTAATCCAACATTAGCGATATGTAACAAAGCCTTGTATAAATGATGATGTACATGGAGGCCACCAAGGATAATAAACCACATAAAAAGTGCTCATATTATGTGGTAAACCACTTCAAAAGCTTTCTTAGAAAACTTGACAAGAAAAAAGGATCATAAATGAAAAATTCTTGGGGAAATTAATATGAGTAGCATGATTCTTTATACCTCAATTGACTAAAACTTTAGCGATAATCGACTAAATCAGCTTAGAACAAAAAAAAAAGTGAAAAACTTTTCAAAGGAGAATAATTCCATGAACCACAAGGGAGGCCCTGTACTGTATATCCACCATTTAGAAAAACAGTATTCTAAGATGGTCCACCTGATAAAACATGAAGTTAAGTCGTTTATAGTGTTTTTTCTGGAACTCTCTAGTTAGCAAAGCCAAGCATTTTACAGGTGCACGTGAAGCAGCACTTACTCAAGTCATTGATGAAAACACAAAGAGAATCATAGATGTAAAATGTTGGTGTATGATCAAGCCATATTTGATGCAATATGCATTTATGTGCTAATCAGATTCAATACACCCCAACTAAAAAAAACCAACTAATGGAGCTTTCTAAATACTTGTAGACATGAAAATCAAACCTGTAAACAACTCCAATATTTGGTGTCAGGCACTGTATTTTCTGAACCTGAAATCAAACATCAAACAACCGCATTTCAAGGTAATTAATAACTACTCATTAGTTTGGAAGTAGAAATAGAATAGTCCTGATTTTAATCAATTCAAATATTCTAAAACAATAACTCAGAAATGCCACCCTTTTTTATACCCGGAAGAGACAAATAAAGCATCATGTATTATGAGTTTACCTTTATATGATAATACAAATTAAAATTGGTTTCATTAAACAACCATAGTCTCACAGATATTCCGAAAACCGACACATTGAATGACAAAGCAAACACAAACCTTGCAAGTTTACATCACTCAGACTCGGGTGCATTCAACTATTTCCTAGTCTGTCACGGGTTGTAACCCCAAAATCATTGACACCAAGGTCGAGACAACATAGTTGCAAGTCATTTTCATTCATCAATTAACATTAAACTTAATTTTTTCTAAACAAATTTGAGAATAACTGTAAAAAATAAAGTTGTCTAAAGCAAATCCACAATTCAAATTAACTGAAAAAAAATACTCACAGAGGTTTCATCAACCAAGATCGAAGGCAATTTCTTCTCAGTAGCAATTACAACCCCATTAGCAGCTGTAATTTAAAACCCATCATCAAATTAAACCCAATGTATTTATTTACAAGCATAAAAATTCAACCATCAGCAACTATTTCACTAGTTCTAAAAACCCTAAACCCATCTTTTATAAAAAAAACCACAAGAAAAGAAACAAATAAACCTTTGATTCCAAGAGATGTTTGACCCGACCCGACGGCCGTCAAGGCGTGCTCAATCTGAACTAACTTTCCTGAAGGACTGTTTAAAAACCCAAAAAAATAAATTCTTTTAATCGAAAAAAAACTTAAAAATTCGTTCATAAATAAAGTTATTAATGAATGAAGGGAGACCTGAAAGTTGTAAGAGAAAAGGAATATTGACTATCACCCATGGTTTCGATTTACGAAGAAACAAAAATACGAAAAAAAATCTAAAGTCCTGAACAAATGGAAAGGAAAACTATTAAATTAAAAATGGTTAAAAAAAGTAGCGAAATTGAAGAATGTAATGAAAGAAAAAGAAAAGAGATTTACTTTGAATGAGAAGAGCAAGAAGAAAAAGAGTGGCCTTTTCTCGTTGCTAGATTGGAGTTTTCTTGCTGGGGAAGAAGGCCTTTAGAGAGGTGGGCAGGGCTGGGCTTTTAGAATTAATATTTTGGGCCATGAATGGCCCATGGGCTCGACCCATCCTTTGACAGTCAATTGAAAAGATTACAAAAAAAGAAAGTCGATTTTTTTTTAATCACAAAAAAGTTATTATTATTATTATTTTATACTGGGATTGTGAAAACGAACGCCAAATACAAATTCTTCACTTTCAAGGTTTAGATCTCTCCTTTTTTAAATAATTATTGATTTTTTTTTTGCTTTTTTATTGTTTACGATGATGATTTTGTCCTCGTTGAGTTTATTTTTGCGGATCGATTTTCTCTGGAAAATTAAACACTTTGATATCTTTGTTTATTATTATGGTGCATTTCGCTGAATCCCATTTGTTTTGCTTGAATAATCAGTTTCTAAATCGTAATTGTTTTGCTTGAAAGAACATAAGCAGAACTAGGTTTTTATTGTTGAAGCAATGGCATGGCAACTTTGCTTGTTTGGTAATTAAAAAAAAATTATAGGGAGATTGAAAGCCGCTGTGTTGTTTTTATTGTGCTTAACCTGTTTCACAAACCCTAAACCCTTTTTCTTAATATGTTTAACATAAACCCTGAACCCTAATCCCATCTTTAATCTGTTTCACAAACCCTAAACCCTTTTGCTTAACATAAATAGTTTAATGGATATGCCTTTTGTTATGATTTTATATATATATTTAAAGACGTTTCTTTCTTGATTTGACTAAGAGAGGAGGAGGAAACAGGTTCAAGAGTTTCATATTTGTTGCTTGCTGAAGAAGTTTTGTACCTTGAAAGAACTTGGATAAGGTATATAGGTTCAGCGTTGTCAAAGCCATGACTGCAGTTTTTAATTTAATTGCTTTAAACAATTAAATTAACCATATGCACCTTCATTTAGTTCCTCTTATTGTTATTATTATTATTATTATTGATTTGACAGTGTGCCCTTGTGATCAAAATGGATGATGAGCAGCATAATAGTGTTCCTGGGAGGTGTCCCGAGTTTGGAGCTATCTTCATGTCAAACAATGCAACGAAAAAGGAATGTTTAAGAAGAAAAATTTTTGCCCTCCCATATTCGCTGTCCCACTTTGTGAAACAGGTTAAAGATGGGATGATTCTATTCCTGTTTGAATTTGGGAGGAGAGAACTTCATGGTGTGTTTCAAGCATGCTCTGATGGTGCAATGAATATTTTGCCTAATGTATTCAGTTCATCAGGGAAGCAATTACCTGCACAGGTATGGGTACATTTATACTTATTTTGTGTTTTATGTGCATCTTCCCTGCCTCAAAGAAGGATGGGGAAGGATGCATTTTTGGAGTTGTTAATCCTTACAGAATTTCATACAGGTAAAATTCACCCCTCTGTGGTTCTGTCGTCCACTTTCTGAAAATGAATTTCGTGATGCCATCAGAGAAAACTATTTTTCCAAAAACAAGTTTAAGTTTGGACTGTCAGAAGATCAGGTTTTCCCTTTTTCTATCAAACTTCAACCTGAATAAATTGAAATGTTACTTTTTAAAAATGTTTGTCTTTTACTCTTTGTTTAAAATGTGTAGGTTCGAAGGCTTCTATCATTGTTCAGTTTGACGAGGTTGAAAGATCAGGCGCCTCATAGACAGTTGACCAGAAGTAAAGTTGCAAGGCCAAGTGGGTATTCTACAAGTAAAAATAGAAGACTAGTGGATAATGATAGGTCTCCAATGAGTAACCTTGTACCGGGTGAATGTAATGTGGATAACAATCAGGGACCATTTATCTCAACTATGCACTGTGGGGATTCTTTCTATAATGATAACGGGGCTACTGCTGATGGCAGATTTGGAACATACACAGATGTGGGATATGAGTATAAAGCAAGTGCCTTCTTAAATGAGTGCTTTCAGGACCTTATGGGTAAAGTTGGAGGGAACATAGATGTTGGTGAATATGCCAAAGGTGATAGGATGGAGATTGAATGGAATACTGGTATTGAGCTTCAACCAGCCGTTTCAGTTGGGTATTCTTCGGGTAATTTCAGAGACATTTCCAATGATGTTAGGTTTGCAGTGAGGGATAGGCTTGAAACAAAACGTTACGACGATGACGGTTTTGCACCAATCCTCTCAACAGCATATCCTAGTTCTTTTCAATCTAAAGTTAATCCACTGGCATATTCAAGCAAACATGTTCTAGAAATAGATTCATTTATTGATGATCCAACTGGCTCATCCTCAACATTCCTTCCGTCAATGGAGCTGGAAAACTCTAATGTTAGTTATCCAATGACTTTTGAAGATTCAGTTGTTACAACTACTCTTCCTTATGATCCCGATGTCCCTAGTATCAGTTATCTGAGCTCCTCATCTTTGTGGTTCAATCGGGGTCGTGATTCATTACAAGAATATGCTAATAATGATAGTTTTGTTGGTAATGTCCTTGGTTCTTCCACAAATCAGTCGTCTCCTTCATTGTTAGAGACTAGAAGGACAACCATAACCCCTGCTGTCAACTGTGGTTCTAGGGACTTCATTCCATTGCCTTATTCTAATCAATATGAATGCTCCATTAGGAGTAGCCCAGCAAGGCATGACTATTTTGATGACCTAGCAGCTGAAAACTCTAAAAAAGAAGGCTGTGGAGATCTTTCGCTTCTGAAGCCCTCTTTAGCATCTGTTCCTTCTTCTGAAACTAGAAGTAATGTCAGGATCAGTGAGCAGCCATCATCTTATAGAGCCAGTCTTAGCAAGTTTCCATCTCTTACCTTTTCTGACAGGTATGATACATTATTACAAGACAAACATGATTGTCAAGCACCAGAGCGTAAAAATGATGCAGAATTTGGTAATGATGGTTTTATGTTTAAAGAGTCCCAACATCATGGGGACTTTTTCTATAATGATAACAGAGCAATTGAGGATGGCAGATTTGCAATATACAAGAATGTGGAATATGAGCAAAAAGAGATTCAGCACCAGCCGCATGTTCATGAACCTACAAATGTGGATTACCATGAAGTTACCTCATTGAGTCCTGCTGCATATCAGAATTCTGTAGGCTTATATCCAGATTGCCAGAAGAAAAGGGGTGGTGTGTTTTCTCGCTTGGCTTTGCCTCCTAAAGCATATAAACAAGAAAGAAACGCCCCTCCTGGCACTGCTGATATTGATACGAATGCCTCAGTGAATGAAGTCATGGACATGATTCACCGAAGCCGTTTCCATTGGGTGATAACAAGATGTAAACAGTTAGGCAAACATCATGGTAAAGCTGCCAATGTTAGGGACACAAAACAGGCGACCAGGAAGGAGGGCTTGACTATGATTTCAAAGGAGATGAATGTGAAGCCTATCTCATTAAGCAAGGAGAATAGCAGCCAAAAAACTGAAGAGACAGCTTTTGTGAATTTCAAACGTCGTAGTTCAGTGAGAAAGAACCTTGAAGATGGCAAGACTGGAAACTGTTGTGGAAGTCTGAATAACAAGAGTGCATCAGCTGCACATTGTAAAAAGAGAAAATTGATTAGGGCAGACTTCTGTGAGTTTCAGTCATCTGACAGAGGCTTGGCTACAATCTCAAAGGAGATGAATGATAAGCCTATCCCATTAAGCAAGGAGAATAGTAGCCAAAAAGGTGAAGAGAAGACTTTTGAGAATTTCAAACATCATGGTGCAGTGAGAAAGAATTTTGAAGATGATAAAACTGGGAACACTTGTGAAAGTCTGAATAACAAGAGTGCATCAGCTGCACATTGTAAAAAGAGAAAATTGATTAGGCCTGATTTCTGCGAGTTTGAGTCATCTGACAAGGGCATGGCTATGATCTCAAAGGAGATGAATGATAAGCCTATCTCATTAAGCAAGGAGAATAGCAGCCAAAAAGCTGAAGAGACAACTTTTGTGAATTTCAAACGTCTAAGTGCAGTGAGAAAGAACTTTGAAGATGATAAGACTGGAAACCATTGTGAAAGTCTGAATGACAAGAGTGCATCAGCTGCACATTGTAAAAAGAGAAAATTGATTAGGCCAGACTTCTGTGAGAATGAGTCACCTGGGAGGGCCATATCGGGTGATGCTCCTGAAAATGTAATAGCATTCTCAACAGACTGTTCTGTCAGAAGAAATGCCAAACGTATCAAGGTTTCTGTTTGCTGTGTAAATGAAAATGATATATCTCAAAATGTTAAATTGCCAAATGTAATGTGCCAAACCGCAGTTGGACGCAACATCCCTAATGAGGAAAGTGGCTCAAACTCTGAACAATTTAGTATGGAAAGCTTTATTGCTTCTAGAAATGCTGATGAAGGTGGAGAAGAATCAACACAACAAAATCACAGCATCTCAACTATGACTTCAGTTTCTTGTGGGGTCATGCCAATCGAAACTAAGCAAGATTTGACCACTAGAGATATAAGTATGGATGGATTATCTCAAGATCCTAATGTTGTGATCCATTTCACTCATGAGTCATCTCCAAAAATTTGTGAAGACAATGATGGGAATGGAGTTGCAAAGAGCGAGTTCTTTTACAATATTGAACTGGTCAATGACCTCTGCCCTGTTGGTGGTGAGATATCCATCAGCAATGTGAGCTAAGGGAATCAGGACTCTAAATGAGAAAGGCTCGCCTGGAGTCCTTGTAGTACCATACATATTTTTGCAGAGTCGAGACTCCCGAGAAATCAAGCAGCAACCATCTTTTGTATTTGGTAAGAGATAATATGAGTCAACTTTTGGAAGCAGCAACTGCTTTAGTATGCAAGAATCATAGCATGAAATACATGACGGAAATGTTAGATGTGGAATTGCTTTCTACAATGATGAAGGTGAAGGATGTGCAATTGGTTTTTTTTTTGTCAACTTCTTAATCATGACAAGCCGAATTATAATATAATTTTTTATATTTTATATCTATTTTAAAAATCAAACATTATTTAGAAAAAGAAAAACAAACCTAAGACAAAATCACTTCACCCGTCAACCTTACTAAAAAATGCAAAATTGGTAAGAAACGTAAGGCCATTTACCACGAAGGCACCCAACCGAAGCGAAGCAGTTCGGGCAACAGTTGCACTCCGTCTTCCTCTTCAACTCTCTATTCTATACAATGTCGGAATTCCGTTAAGACTCTAAGGGCGGGGGAGAATGTTAAGGAATCTCCGATATCGGCGGCGGCTACGTTACGGCGCACAGGTATGCGCCGTGATCTCTGCTCTCCTCCTCTTATTTTCAGTCTCTCTCCTCCACATCCGTCTTTCTCTCTCTTCCAAACCCCACATCTATCCCCACGTCTCCTCCGTAGACGAGAACAACGACGTAGTTTTCCGAACATATCCTCTCATCTCCGACGATGACGTCACTACCATCACCTCCTCCTCAACCGACAACAAAATTGATGAATTCGACACCCTCGAAGAAAATGACACCATTTTAACTGAAGAAGACAACAACGAAATCGAGCAAGAAGAAGAACAAGAAATCACGACAATGAATAAAAAAGACAAGATCTTTTCATCTGGGCATTTTTATTTCGACCATTTAAGCGGGTCAATTAAAAGAGCTTTCAATAAAAGTTCGATTAAAGATTGGGATTACGATGGAGGGTTTATGAACGAAGGTTTTTTTGGAGAAGATGTTAAAGTTAAGGCCGCCTTTGGATCCGATGACATCCCATTGGATGAGGAAGTTAGGAGGAAAATGAGTGAAGTGTTAAGTGTTGAAGATGCTCTGTTGGTGAAGAAAGTTGGTGGGAAAAAAGTGAACCCTTTGAGGGAGAAATGGGGTGATTGGTTTGATAAGAAAAGTGATTTTTTGAGAAGGGATAGGATGTTTAAGTCGAATTTGGAGGTTTTGAATCCGTTGAGTAATCCTTTGCTGCAGGACTCAGATGGGGTTGCTGTTACTGGGTTGACTAGAGGGGATAGACTGGTGCAAAAGTTAATTTTGAGTGAGTTTAAGAAGGTCCCTTTTACTGGGAAGAAGCCATTGGGGGTTTTGGAGACGGGTTCAGAGGATAAAAGAGGCGGCGAGAGTAAGAAAAATGATAATTTGAGGAATGCGTCAAGCAAAAGAGAAAATAGTAGTAAGAATTTGAGTTCAAGTACATATGGAAATGAGAGTAACGAGAGTAGTAGTAAGAGGAAGAATGAGATCAAGAATGTAGATTTAGAGGCTGATAAGAGTAACACTGAGTTTTCTGGTCATATATATGCGGATGCAAACAGATGGGGTTACTATCCTGGATTGGATCCAAGGCTGTCTTTTTCGGATTTTATGGATGCATGTTTTAGGAAAGGTAAGTGTGATATGAGAGTTTTTATGATGTGGAATTTCCCTCCGTGGATGTATAGTGTTAGGCATCAAAGAGGGCTTGAGAGTCTGCTTCCTCAACATCGAGATGCTTGTGTCATGGTGTTCTCTGAAACGATTGAGCTTGATTTTTTCAAAGACAGCTTTGTGAAAGATGGGTAAGTTTTGTTCTGGTTCTGTATTTTGATTTATTATATCTATTGTTATATAAATGGTTTCTTGTTTCACACAGTTACAAAGTTGCTGTAGCAATGCCAAACCTTGATGAACTGTTGAAAGATACACCCACGCATGTATTTGCTTCTGTGTGGTTTGAATGGAGAAAGACAAAGTTTTATCCTACTCATTATAGTGAGCTTGTACGGCTTGCTGCTCTTTACAAGTAAGCAAGCTTACTCTTTTATGCATATGCTTTGTGAAGTTTAGGATGCAGTTTTGAATTGCTATATCAATGCTGCCCTACATGTTGGAAATTGGACCTTGGTTCAATGAGTTGTTCTCTTTTTTGGTAGTCAAATCATCTCTTTTCCCCTTTTACTATTATTGTTAAATATCTTTTGGATTTTCTGATAAACTAAGGCATTAGATTTGTTGGTACATCAAAATTAAATGTGTTTAACCTTTATGGGCACATCCTTGAGGGGGAAATGGAACTAACTGTTAAATCATGAACTTAAAGTGATGCAGAAGGGAAGTAGTTTTTCCTACGTAAATGTTGAGGACCATTGTGGGTGTATTTGGAGTTCTGAGCTCACTGCCCTGTTTTTAATATGCTAGATGTGTATAGTTACTCCTACTTGGTGCGTGAGATAGAAGATTTATGAAGAAGTCTTTGTTTCCTTTCTGCTTAAGTTGAACTTTCTATATCATTGGTTTTAATGATCTGCTACACATCAGACTTCAGTAGGTTAGACTGCTATATTTTAGCTTCAATGTCTACAGTCTTTTTTTTCCTTGTACACTTCTTCCAAGCATGTCTTTTTTTTATCTTGTTTGTAGATATGGTGGCATTTATATTGATTCTGATATTATAGTTCTTAAACCATTATTGGCACTCAATAATTCTGTTGGCCTGGAAGATCAGCTTGCTGGAAGTTCTTTGAACGGAGCTTTAATGGCATTTAGAAAGCAAAGGTAATGACTGAACTTGGTTTTTAAGTTCTCCAATTTTGTTTGCTAGTTTCTGCTTTCTTTGAAATTACTATTGCTTATACTTGGATTTTTCAAGTTATATATTATCTTTTGTATTAATTCTTAAAAGCACATGGGCAGTACTTGTATTTTAGGGCATAACTGTCTGAGTTGCTATTTGGTCTAAAGGGCTTTGGCACTCATAAGTATTTTGAAGAGTTTTGCTACTTAACTGCTAACTTTCTTCTTCTCAGCAAGCTTTTTAATTTTTTTGGTTATTTTGCACTATCATATTCATTTTTGTTAAAAAAGAAAAAATCTTTTTTTTTCTTTGAATAACTTTACAGTAGCAAGTTGTATCTTTTTATTTTTTAATTTTGTGTTCAGGCATTTTCTCATAATTTATTGGAATTGCATATTTATGGATACCTTGTTTAAGAATGACTATGTTTCAAATGTTTTGGTCCATAATTTATATCTAGTTTCTGAAATAAGAAGTCTTGCTCTCTGAGTTTTGGGTGGAAGGGATTGTAGGAGAGCTACCCTCAGGGTTTTGGTAGGGTGCCTTGGAAGTTAAGAAGGATTTATCACAGTTTTTCCCATTTTTGTTACATGTTTCTGGATTGTTGGTTTACTGCGTACCAGCAACTAAATCATTTCTTTGATTTTTGCATTCTCTTGTGCAGTCCCTTCATAATGGAGTGTTTGGAGGAGTTCTATTTGACGTACGATGATACCCAGTTGAGATGGAATGGGGCTGATCTTCTATCAAGAGTTGCAAAAAGGTTTTTGAACAAAAAGAACATATCCATCAAACAGCCAGAGTTGAATGTGCAACCTTACTTTGTTTTCTTCCCAATTAGTTCTCAACATATTACAAGGTACTGTTCCATGTACATTCCCGTCTCTTGAAAATGATCTGTTTAATGCATGTGTCTGATAACATTCACAATTCAAATGCATTTTCAGGAATATGTATGTATGCATACATAAACCTGTTTCCATGGCTGTACATGTGTACAATCATATTGTATATTAGGCTCTTATTATTGCAAAATCTGACCAGTGAAGCATCTCCATGCTCCTCAACTCCAACTTTTTTTTCTCCTACTGCTTTTTTTCTGCTTTTCCATGGTAATTGATTAGTTTGTGGGAGGATGAGTGACTGGTTTCTTTTATTATTATATTCTTTTTGGGCATTGGTTTTCCATGCTAGGATTTTGGCTAGAAATACGTTTTAAATAATGGATCCTTGGGTTCCCAGGGTTAGATGATCTCAAGCAGAGTTCTTATTATAGGATAAACATTTAGTCCTTTGACTATTTCCTTGATGTTTCTGTAACCTAAGAGTGTTGGGTGTTTCTCTGCCTTGCCTAACTCTGTTAGAACCTAGAAAAGAGAAAACACCTACTTTTACCAGAAAACAGATTGTCGATGACACTGGACTTGCAGCTATCTTTCCATAACTAATATAAGGTATTACCTTATAATTGTGATCCTCAGGGCATGCTCACTTGCATCCATGAGGTCAAATGTACATTATAGTTGCATGACAAGATTTTCACTAGCTTGCCTTATGACTCTTTGTGCTGTCTCCAAATTACACTACGTGTTGTACCTTTTTGTTTTTTGTGAAGTCTTACATTCATCTTTTTTTCCATAACTAACTTGGATCAAAAACAGATACTTTGTTGCACCGACAACAGAAACTGAGAACGCACAGCAAGATGCTTTATTCAATAAGATTCTGGCCGAATCAGTGACATTTCATTTCTGGAACAGCTTGACATCTGCTCTCATTCCAGAACCGGGGAGCCTTGTAACGAGGCTTATGGATCATCTCTGTATTCATTGCTCTGAATTGTTGTGAATTACACATCTCTCCTCAGTGCTGTCCGAGAATTGATCAAAGCATTTCTCTTAACCATCAGTTGCAAAATCTCTTGCTCTGTGATAATTTAAGATTCTGAATTTCATGTTAGAAATTCGTATAGTTGTGCAATTTCTATAATTGTAGTCCTTCATTTTTGCTAAATGATTAGGCTGCCCTGCTAATACAAAATCTTTCCTTCTTTTTTTTGTAATTTATTTGTCTATTAGGTTCAGTGGATGATGTAATTTTGGCATTGAGAGGCAAATGGTACATCATTTTCAGGCATGGGATGGTTAACGAATAATAAAATTTTGTACATATTACACTTCTAATCCATGGCATTAGGCCCAAAGCATCTTCTTTTCACAGGATTCCACACCCATTGAACCAAAAATCTTCTTCCCTTACCTCGGTTCACATTGCACCCATTCCCCCAGAAATCCTTGTAAACTTTACCCACATGCCCACCGCCAGCACCAGAACCATACAAACCTACACACAAATCTGCAATTTCTGTAGTTGCAGTTGGATCATCTCGAGCACACGATACGCTGACCAGTGGATTTCTTGACACTTCTGCTAGCTCATGAGTTTCTTTTACTGAGGACTTGAGTTCTCCAAATTTAGACATTTCATGAGATTTTACTTTGTAACTGCCACTTCTTTGATAAAAACTGGCAACTTTGACAAGGCCAATGAAGTAATGCAGTGTCTGATAAGGAGTTTTGCTGAAGCTGGGAGGTTAAAGGGGGCTGTTGGGATGGTTTTCGAGATGCAAAATCATGGCTTGAAGCTAAAGGCTGAAACCTTGAAGAAGGTTTGATGAAAAGGATTGAAGCCTAATGTGTATGTGCATACCGCTTTGATTGATGGGCTTTGCAAGAAAGGATAGACTGAGAAGGTTTTTAGGTTATTCCTTAAGCTTGTTAGGAGTGATAATTACAGGCCGAATGTGCATAGTACACGTCTACGATCAGTGGATATTGCAACTAGGAGAAGTTGGAGCGGGCAGAGATGTTGTTGAGCAGAATAAAGGAGCAGGGATTGGTTCCTAACATCAACGCATATACCACTCTTAACGGTGGGCATTGTATGATGGGAAGGTTTGAACGAGCATATGAATTGATGAATGTAATGGATAAAGAAGGCATTGCTCCTAATATATGTGCATAAAATGCAAGGGTTCAAGAAGCCCATGAACTGCTTAGAGAGGGCCTTCTACATGGTTTCCAATCTGATAGAGTTACATATACCATTCTCATTACTCAGCACATCCCTGCAAGCAGGCTGATACTGAGCGAGCTATAGCATTTTTCAGTAAGATGGTAGTTGGCCTCCAGCCTGTTATGCATTCATATAACACATTGATTGTTGCATTCCGTAGGAAAAAGTGAAGAAGCATTGAGGCTTGCATTGGTTCCAACCAAGGAAACATATCCATCCAAGATATGTGGGTACTGAAGAGGTGGAAATATAAGCTTGGGACTCAAGTTTTTCAACAAGATGAATGACCACGGTTGTGTACCACGTAGCATCACATATGGAACTCTGATCAGTGGACTTTGCAAAGAGTCTAGGTTGTAGGAGGCGTGCCAGTTATATGAGACTATGATGGACAAGGGGCTCTCTCCATGCGAAGTAACACGGTTGACATTAGCTTACGAGTATTGCAAGAAAGGTGATTCTGCCATTGCCATGATTATGTTGGAAAGACTGAAGAAAAAACTTTGGATGTGGACGGTTAGCACCTTGATCAGGAAGCTTTGTAGTGAGAAGAAAGTAGGCATAGCTGCATTATTCTACCACGGATATTAGAATTGATAGTACTATTAGAATTCCTTTTTTTTTTCCTTATTTTTAAGCTCTTTAACTTCCAAAATCATACTAACAGAAGAACAGTTTCTTCAGATTCTTTAATGATGTCAAATTTTCATCATAAATTTTGTTTGTTTTTAAGGAATTATCTTAGCAGCCCATCTAATATAATTAGTCAAAGATGTCGCTTTTTCTGATCTAATGGCTGATGGCCTAATGCCTTTGGTGTGTCTCGCTTTTGTCACAGCTCACAATTTGCAATATAAGCTCTATTTGTTTTGTTTTTGCCTCTTGTAGCATTAGATCCATTGCATCTGTTTAAGTCAACTTAGAGGGTATTCTAGGAAAACAAGAACACACTTTATAAAAGGCCATGCTCTCTTTCTTTTGCAAAACCCCGTCAGCAATTGGTGCAAAAAACTCCTTCTCTCTACCATTATTTGCTTTCAAGGTAAGAATTATGCTTTAATTTGATCTCTCTTGTCTCTCTCTTTCTGAGTTTCAGTTTTTAAGCTGCATCATTTCAATTAGTCCCTCTAGCTACTCTTGAATATTTCATTCCTGTCAAGAAATGAAGGTTTCCTTCTTTGTGGATTATTGTTTCTAGTTCATATTTCTCTTGATAATAATGGGTTTTATAGTATCTCTACTATGCTTTTGACAAAGTCAGATCTGTTCTTATTACAAATGAGATAAACAGTAGGAGTATCAGTTAAGCATAGGCCTCTGTCTTTGTGAGTAAAAACAGCTTCTAGTTTTAGGCTCAACTTGATCTGTATGCTTTATTTGCTTGAAAAGATCTGTTATAGCTGTTGTGAAGATAAAATGAGTTTTTCATTGATACATCATTTGTAAAGACTTGATTTATTGCCTTGAATGATTTGCTGCACATGCAATGAACTTTTATTTTTATTTTCTAGCAACTATTATTGCCTCCAGCTAACAGCTGAATGAGTTCTTTTAGTTTATGTCTAGTTTCCTTGATGAATATTTATATTTTTGTTTATGGATTAAGTAACTATCTCTGAAATGGAAAAAGAAAGAAAAAAACAAGAAACTGAACAGGAAGAACTGAAATGAGAAAGATATACAAAACCAGATTTATAGGGGGGTGGGGAAGAAAAGATCATACAGTATGTTTTAGGGTTGAGAAATTTTCTTGTCTGCTAATTGAATCTTAAAGACGGCATGATTTTTGTTGGACTTTGAGAAGTTATAATAATTTCTGAAGTGATGCATTTTTCAGCACACTTTTCAAATGGCTCGATCTGCACTGGATGAAATGTCAGATACTGGGGCTTTTATGAGAACTGCTGCGACATTTCGTAACTTCATCTCTAGAGACCCAAATTCTCAGTTTCCACCTGAGTCAGGAAGGTATCATTTGTATGTATCTTATGCTTGCCCCTGGGCTTCCAGGTGCCTTGCATACTTGAAGATCAAAGGACTTGACAAAGCCATCGGATTCACGGTTGGTGAATCATGTTATGTCTTTTAGCTCTTGTGGTTCCATTAAATCTGTCACAAGGCTAATGATCTTTGCTGTTTAATTGTTGATCAGTCAGTCAAACCCATATGGGAAAGGACAAAGGAAACTGACGAGCATATGGGATGGGTTTTTCCCACCTCTAATACAGAGGAGCCCGGTGCTGAACCTGACCCATTTAATGGAGCAAAGAGTATAAGGGAACTATACGAGCTTGCAAGTACAAACTATATTGGGAAGTACACAGTTCCTGTAAGTTCTTAAACATTAAAACCCCCTCCCAGCTCTCGTTTGCTCTATACTTTTTTTTCTTTTCCATGTTCAAATCTTTCAAGTTTATTTGGTGCTTTATGTTATGTGATAGGTCCTATGGGACAAGAAATTCAAAACTATTGTTAGTAATGAGAGTGCAGAGATAATCCGCATGCTTAATACCGAATTCAATGATATAGCGGAGAATCCTTCTTTGGACCTATATCCTCCTCATTTGAGAGCTCAAATTGATGAGACAAATGAATGGATATACAGTGGAATTAATAATGGTGTTTACAAATGTGGTTTTGCTAGAAAGCAAGAGCCTTATGATGAGGTATTTTTATGTGGTTACTATCTTCCATTTAAAGAGCTCTTCCTTTTCCTATTCTTTTCTTAACCATGTCTTCTCATTTGACCGTCAGGCTGTAAAACAATTATATGAAGCTTTGGACAAATGTGAGGAGATTCTTTCCAAGCAGAGATACATTTGTGGAAACATTCTGACTGAGGCAGATATCCGATTGTTTGTGACCCTCATAAGATTTGATGAGGTATTTTATTTGCCCGTACAACTTTCGAATATCATGTATTTGGTATAACTAAAATAATCTTAATCTAGACATTTCTTTCAGTAGCAATTATTAACTTTGACAGCTTCAAAACTGAAGCAAAGGAAAAGGTTTCCATTGTTCTTTTCAAAAAGAGGAAAACTTTGAGATCTTTACAATGGAATCGTTCATGCATTTTGACGACGAATTTGTTGTGCTTACAGGTCTATGCAGTTCATTTTAAGTGCAACAAGAAGCTTCTACGAGAGTACCCAAACTTGTTCAACTATACCAAAGACATTTACCAATTTCCAGGCATGAACAGTACAGTGAATGTGCAACACATCAAGCGGCATTACTATGGAAGTCATCCTTCTATAAATCCATTTGGGATAATTCCTCATGGCCCTAATATTGACTATTCATCTCCACATGACAGAGCAATGTTTTCTGCATAGGCAGTATGTATCCCAGACTGTAAGCCGTTGCTTATTTTGGATGATGATGATGCACTGATGCTTGCTTTGCTATAGACAACTTCTCTCCTCACCATTTGTGAAGATGAATTAAATCTCAAAAAAGGATGTATCTGCTCTCTTAGATAAAGGTTTTTACTTCATAACAGTTGCAATGCTGTGTACAATAGATGAACTAATATTTGCTGTATCATCAGCATAATGTATTTCTTCTCAGGCTTCATCATCATTTGTGGCTAAAAATAATTTCCCTGGGCTGAGTTGCTGGGAGATTTGATTAACTAGCAAGATGTAGCTGTGTTTGAGTGGTGAATCAAACATGGCTGCTAATTGATGAGCAGAAGCAAAGAGCTTAAACCATCAGTCATTTCCATGAAATCTTCTTGCATTTCAAGAACAAAAAAAGCAAGTATAAAGAAAACCCAAAGAGAATGAATGTCCATTAGAAGGCACTATTCTAGACCCTGGAATAACCTATAACAAAAAAATTTCAACAGTCATTAAAGTTTGAAATAACTAAAGAAAGAACCATCTTCACCAAGTATAAGACAGTCAAAGAATCTCTAGTTTGCCTTTTTTTTTGAATTTTTTTATGTAGGGGGTGGCTTCAACAGCTTTCTTTTGAAGCATTACACCTCTCTTACATAATGCCAAAGATTGTAAAATGAAGATTGGAAAAAAAGAAGGGAAAAAGTGTGCATTGATTTGTAATTTATTGAAATTCAGTACATCCAACAATAAGTGAGTGCTCTCACCAAATCAGCCACTCTTTCTTTAAAGGGCCTGATTGTGGTGGGGCCCTTTTTTTTTTTTTTTTTCTTTTTGGGTACATTGATTCAATAATGGCATTGTTGAACTGCCTCCATTGTCCCTTTCCAAAGAACTTTTCAGTTCCTCCATTTCTAATCCATTTATCACACTCTCAAACACTTCACACTTGAGACTCAGTAATACAAATGATCTTATCCAAGTTTTGAACAAAATTATGTTTGAAAATTGTTTTACATTTTCCATGATATTTGTTTTTCCCAACTATAGCCAAATTTGATGTTATTACACAAGCCATAGTTGTTATTTCCAATTAAAAAAAAAAAACAGTTTCATTATTTCCTTCAACTAGAAGACCATATGCTTTCATGATTTTCAATGGACGATACATTAGGAAATGCTAGAAATAGGAATCTATTTATTAAGACTAACAAATCTTCTGACATTCAAATAAAAAAGTACCAGGTAATGAGGGTTTAATTTCTTTTTCATTAAACTGTCCTCCTTAATTATATTAATGATAGATAACAAAAAAAAAAAATTAAAATTTCAACACTTATAATTTTTTTAATTTATTTTTGAATTAGATCTTTTGTTTTGGCAAATTAAAAGTAATAGATTTGATATAAAGTAATTGATCATTTATGATTTTAACGTCCAGAAAGGCAATTCTCTTTAGCAAAGGGCTGCCATTGAGATGGGCTATGGAAAGCAAAAACAATGGAATAACACACCATAAATAATACTATGATATGAGAGAGAGAGAGAGAGAGAGAGAGAGAGAGAGAGAGAGAGAAATGAAGCTTTCACTGTTTAGATAAAATCCATTAAAAGGGCAAAAGTAAAAGTGGTAATGATATTAAAAGGGCTTCGACCCCCATATCAGTCCTTTATGCCCCACATTTCTATCTTATATTATCTGATAATGAACCACCTTTAAATCATAGCCGCAGAAATCTTTTTAAGTATCTCTATCAAGAAAAGAAATCAATATAAAATATGTTTTAGGAGTTAAAAAATTTACAATGGAAATAAAAATATTACTACTAAATTTTTTGTAAAAACAAAAAGAAATCAAAAGCCTAAATCCCACTTCAATGGGTGGGCTTTGAATTATTTGAGAGTAAGTGCTATTTTTGGGAGCAAATATGGAGGGCCCCTAATTTTCACCACCTGGACACTAAATATCAATGTGCAATTGTTTTAGCCTTTACTTATTTCTTTTCCACTATCATGCTTCCATTTTTTTTCCACCATTATATGCCATTGAACCACCATCCCCCCCCCCAGAAAAAAAAAAAAAAAAAAAGAAAAGAAAACAAAAGATAGATAGTAAAGAGTGCATAAAAGAAAGAAAGAAAAAAGGTTACCCCTTTTATTTTCTCTCCCAAGTTTTTTTTTTTTTTTAACCCATTACTAAAACAGTTCTTCTGCAATACAATATAGTATCAGCTAGACCTAGTAGCTATTTGAGGCCTTTTCTCTTTCTCTATCTGAAGTAGAGTCATCTTTTTTTCTTTTCCTCAAAAAAGCTTCAATCTATCTAAATTTGGAGTCTCTGTTTCTTACACCGAGATACAAATAGAATAACACAAAGTGACAGTTTTAAAGTTCTTTTTTTTTTTTTTTTTGGTTAGCAGGTTGTGTGCAATAATCACTAGGGCATGAAAATCCCCCAAGGGCTTAACTTTGAGTCTTCCATTCCAGCTCCACCATTGTTTATAGGTGAGTTTGAGCTTAATATATGCTCAGGATTCTCATAAAGGTCATATCTTTATCTGGGTTTGCTTCTAATTTTGGTCCAAATATTTTGTCTTTTCTTTGAGCTCTTTTTGTTTTTGGGGTTTAATATTTTGAATTAGTGCTTTTTAGCTTTCTTGGTTTGTATTAATCCATTATTACTCAACTCCTAAATACCCATATTTGAAAGGTTCTACTTTTGCGGAACTATTTTTCAACATCCATCTTCCATTAGAAGGGTATCTAATTTGGCTGTTGTTTTATCCCTCTCTACAGCTATCTAAGCTATCATCCTATTGGTCTTATTTTCTTCACTCTTACATGCCTCTTTCAGCTTGAAGAGGATGACATCATTTTTCTATCTGGGTGGCTTTCACATGTGAAAATACCCTTGGAAGAAATTTCTTTCCTCTATGGCCATTGGGCATTGAATATAATGATGTTCTGTTTTGTTTCTATTATTGTTTTTTGGGTGAATTATTTATGTATTTCAGGTTAGTTACCTGCTCTATCCATGTTTAATTAGTTGTTGAGTATGATTGACATTTCATAGATTTGTATTGTATTAGTATTCTCTCCATGTAAGAGGTTGGAGTGCACGGCTCTTGAAACTTTTTCTTCTTTTTGTTTTTTTTTTAATTTGATCTTTTGCCATTGGCAGTTACTCTGGTTTGCAATTTAGCTGCCTATATATTTTATCGGCCTTTATGGAACTAACAGAGTTAGCATGATTCACTTATACTTGTTTATCTATTTTAATGATTATCAACATTTTCTTCTATTGGTATTATAAATTTAGTATTGAATGTAACCATGACAAGTATTGTCTGTGATCATGATCACATTTCTACTTTGGTTTGCTTTATATCAATAAAATATAAATTGCGTTTTGAGACAAATTGAATTATTATTGTTAAGGAGAGCTGAAAGATGGAGAGAACCAGATTGGATTTAAGATTTATCACTCTGGATCAACAGAATCAGAGGAATCTGCTTTAGGTTTGGAAAGAAATTGCTGCAATCATCTTAATTTGCCTTCATCAAGTCCTTCACCTCTTCAACCCATTGCATCTGCTACTCAGCATTCTGAGAGCAATGCTGCCTACTTCTCATGGCCTACTTCAAGTCGATTAATTGATGCTGCAGAAGATAGAGCAAATTATTTTGGGAACCTACAGAAAGGGGTATTGCCAGAAACCCTTGAACAGTTGCCATCGGGGCAGCAAGCAACCACCTTACTTGAGTTGATGACTATTAGGGCATTTCATAGTAAAAAACTGCGTAGGTTTAGTCTTGGCACAGCAATTGGGTTCCGTATTCGACAGGGTGTTTTGACAGATATACCAGCTATTATTGTCTTTGTCTCTCGAAAAGTTCATAGGCAATGGCTTAGCCAGTTTCAATGTTTACCTGCTGCTCTTGAGGTGTGTAAGTTTAATGCTTCTAGGTTCACTGCTTTTCTGAACCTCCTTGGTTTTTCTGTCTTTATTTTATTCTTTTTTGGTTTCTCCTAGTTTTATTGGGGGGGGGGGGGGGGGTTGAAGGGAAAGGTTGTTTCTGTTCTAACACTACCTTAAATTTGTTGGTTTTGATATTATTCATAGCTGCTAATGTGATGCATCTGTATCCTTGAGAAGTTTTCTATTTCATGTCAGATTTGACTCTTTTAAAATTTTGAGTTGTTTGATAGTTTTGGAAGTTTCTAAACAAGCATATGATCTAAGCAATAAAGTTTTCAAATGTATGATTAACCTTTCTTCAATTGGCTTATCTTTTTTTTTTTTTTTAAATATTGGGTCAGGGGCCAGGTGGTGTGTGGTGTGATGTAGATGTTGTGGAGTTTTCATATTATGGCGCACCTGCAGCAACTCCCAAGGAACAATTATATACTGAGTTTGTAGATGGTTTGAGGGGAAGTGATCCAATCATTGGTTCTGGTTCACAGGTAATTGTTCTTATTAAGGGTGTATGAATTGGTAATTTGATGGGTATTTATAGATATACAGCACCTAAAACTTATGGATCGATGAAAGGTTAAATGAAAAAGGGCATTTGTGAATTGTAAAAATAAGCAGTTTGCTATTGCCAGTATTAATGAAGTACTGAAGCCTGTTTGCTTTATTAATGATTTATTTTCTGTGATTGAATCAATCATCTCACTCTGAATCATGGATGTGCAGACATTTCAACAGTGTCAAACTTGAGTTCTTCATTCTAGAAGTGCTTGGTATCTTTTTGCTTGCATCATGTGTATAATTTATTTTCAAATTCCGTTCCTAATCCTTCTAGGAGAATGCTAAGACTTAAGACCTTTCTTCATAAAGTGATGATAGATGGACTTCCTCTTTGAGTAACTTGTGTCTTTCAAGAAAAAAAAAGCTTTTTCCCTCTTGTACTCTGCCCTTAACCTTGAGTACTGTTTTTGAAAAATGTTGATATATCTCTTGTTTTGGTTGTTACCATTTAAACCACTTGGTTACTCCTGGCACATGTAGGTTGCCAGCCAAGAGACATATGGAACACTGGGTGCTATTGTGAAGAGCCGAACAGGGAATAGGCAGGTAGGTTTCCTCACAAATCGGCATGTTGCGGTTGACTTGGACTACCCAAATCAGAAGATGTTTCATCCTTTACCGCCCAGCCTTGGACCTGGAGTGTACCTTGGTGCTGTAGAGCGGGCAACCTCTTTTATCACAGATGTCCTTTGGTATGGAATCTTTGCTGGTATAAATCCAGGTAATGCAGTTCCAAATTTATTATCTGCCTTCAATTCTTCTGCAACGAAATTCATTGGTTATTGCATTAGAAAATTTAAGCAAAAAAGAGAGAAATTGAACATGATATATCTGGATGCTAGGGGCTAGTGTTTAATTTCAAAGAAGATTTTGAAGGTTTCAGTATCCTGAAGCATGTTATGCTTAACTTTGCATTTGTGCTAATGGATTTTTCATTGCATGGTGACTCCCTTACATGCCCATTTCGGTTTGGTCCTCCTGCAGAAACATTTGTGAGAGCAGATGGGGCTTTTATTCCCTTTGCTGAAGATTTCAATATGAACAATGTAACTACAACTGTAAAAGGTGTAGGTCAGATTGGTGATGTTCATATCATCGACTTGCAGTCTCCGATTAGCTGTCTTATTGGAAGGCAAGTTGTCAAAGTGGGAAGAAGCTCTGGCTTGACCACTGGGACAATAATGGCATATGCTTTAGAGTACAATGATGAGAAAGGGATCTGTTTCTTTACTGATTTTCTTGTTGTTGGGGAGAACCAGCAGACTTTTGACCTTGAAGGTGATAGTGGAAGCCTCATTCTATTAACAGGTCAGACTGTGGAGAAGCCACAGCCTGTTGGGATCATTTGGGGTGGGACTGCTAATAGGGGTCGGTTGAAACTCAAAGTTGGCCAACCCCCAGAAAATTGGACTAGTGGAGTTGATCTTGGGCGTCTACTAGACCTCCTTGAACTCGATCTCATCACAACCAATGAAGGGCTTCAAGGTTTGTATTCCCAATACAATAAGGAATTTTTTCCAGTTTGTAGCTCTCTGGTTTGTTCTTTCTTAGTGGTGCTTATGGATGATTATCTGGTTAAATGACATTGTGCTGCAAACTATGATTTAAGCCAAACAAGCTACATGTTGAAATGGAAGTTACATTTGTAATGGCTAATTACCCCGCATTGCAAGTTACAAGTGAAAAAATAAATAGATTACAGCACTCACTGAACGATAATGCATAAATAGACGATATTGGCCAGGTGGTTATTTAGTGCAAAAGGTTAATTTCAGTTTTGAGTATTGGGCTCCTTATTTCCCTTATGCTTCCTAGCACTGATTATTTATTTAGATTCTGAAGTCGGAAAAATGCAGTATATTAGGCAGAGTATCTATCAAGCAAAACTAAGTGTAAATGGAGAATGGAAGAAAGTGGTAAAAAAGGCCTCTTACCTTTATGGTTAATATTTTCTGTATCTGGTCCTAGCTTAGCTTTGACACTCTCTATTTGTCTTTGTTATTGACATAGCTGCCATGCAAGATCAAAGAAATGCTTCTGCAGCAGGGATTGGTTCTATGGTTGGGGAGTCTTCTTCCCTGGTCCAGGTTCCATCTAAGGATGAGATTGAAGAGAACTTTGAGCCAATTAATTTAAATATCCTGCAAGTTTTGGCTGAAGATGAGCCCCGGCAAGGACTTATACTACCAATCCTGCGTTCTGAGTATGGAGCAGAAGATAGGGTTGAAGCAGCTCCTAACATGGAACATCAATTTATTCCGAGTTTCAATGGAAGGTCTCATGCTCATGATAATAACCAACGGGAAAACCAGGAATCTAGAAATCTTTCAGCATTAAGGAATGGCTCAGATGAGGAGATTTATGTTTCACTGCGGTTGGGTGAACCTGGACCGCTTACCAAAGACAAGAAAATATTCGGATTCCTTGTGTAGCATCAAAGACTCGAAGTGAAAGAGCAATGGAATGGAGTGAGAATGCTTGAGGATATCATATCAAAATTAGGTCACACAATTATTTCTGTTATGGCATCAAATTACTAGGCCTTCCTCATTATAACATGAAAAAAAAAAAAAAAAGAAAAAAAACTGAGTGTAGATCACATACAGGAATTTGAGGTTCATCCTTTTCACAATTATTTGGTTAAATTATGACGGTAGGTTTATCTATATGGGTTATACGGTCTTAGTAGAAAGAAGAATGTTGATGTAGCACCTATGCTATATTTCTTTGATTCGTGTTACTATGTGGAATTGTTGTACCATAAGCACTCCCAAAGTGGGAGTATGAACAGCTATCAAGAATTAGAAACATGGAAATGTTATAGTTTTGGCTTAGCAAAAAGGTTGATGAATCTCTGCAACCTGATTGATAGCAATTGGGCTTCCCTGTAATGTTGCAGAAATTGTTTTAAGGTCAATGCCTTTGCATTAGCGTTGTTGTAATCCAGAGGGGTTTCTTCAATGGCTAAGGGAATGGTTGCTTATTCATTGAAGGTCCCATATCACATCCCTAATCCAAATCAGAAGTTAACAGAGGATATGTAAAGAAACACATAAGTGGATTAAGGCTTTTGAATAAATTAAAACAAAAAAAATCTTTAACTGGGTTTCAGTTGAGCATCATGACCTCAAGTTCATGTAGCACAGCACACCTGCAGGAGAACCGAGAATGCATAGAGATTGAATGACAGATGAGTGATGACTGATTCTAGGTATTTCCAATCAATTACAGCACGCCAGGCCTCAAAGTTTCCGTCAGATCGAAAGTATATTGAGCAAAAAATTATTGACCATGGATGTTTGATGCTGTCAAATTAGCTGGATTGATGGATAAGGATTCTTCCACGAAAACATGCATGAGGAAAAAGCTAAAACAACTAACAAAGGTGGGGTTGGTTAACTGATCAAGAGATAAAAAACTAATTATATAATTTAGCAATGTTAATTAGCAAATAAAAATTACTTTTCAAAAGTCTTTTGCTGAATGGGTGAAAGCTGACCCTTATAACCTTTCATACATATATATATATATATATATATATATATATTTCATAAATGTCACTGTCATTTTCGTATCATAGAAGGCGACGGTTTTTTTAGTGAAATATCGTGATAAAACTACAGTGGAAAACCCTTTTTCTTGTAATGTAAGCAAACTCTAAGCCCCTAACTGTATAATATCCAATGTTGTTACTTCTTTAAGAATTTATTTAGTTGCACAGTAAAATTGAAAATAGTGAATAAGGTTATTGTAGTGACGATTAAAAAGTTTTTTTTGTCGGATTTAGATAATAAAAATTTTGTGCTATATTTGATGAAACTTATCTTACTGATTTTAACGTTTAGATTTCTCTGAAAATTTTTAAATTTTAATTGTCCCTCGAATGAAATACACTTAAATCCAAATCTACCTTTAAATTTTTTACAGTTAGATTCAAATCTACTTTAAATCTTTTACCTGTTAATATTCATTTGAATATAATCAAAACTATTTACCTATCATTTCTAAATGGACGACAAATCTTATTTCCATGAATATTTTAGAGGTAACTTTGTCATTTGATTGACATATATAAAGCTAATGAATAGTATATTTATAATACCCTAGCCTAAATGATAATTAGATTATACTAATATCAAAGTGCATCAATTTATTAAGAGATTAATTAATAAGAAAAATGGTTGATGTATTATATGAAAAAAAATCTAGCTGTCATGAAATAGGAAAAAATGTGAGTTTTTCTTCTTTTTTTTTAAGGGTTAGAAAGCATGAAAAATAAGTTAAAGATTCGAAATTAGATGTTACAATCAAGTTAATCTCTTAAAAGTGAGTATATACTCTTTTTTATTTAAGAAAAAATATAATGTTAGTTGCTATTATTGGGAGTTAAAGTTTTGAAAGAAAAATAAAAAAAATTATAAAATCTTTTGTTAATCTTCATGATCGATATGGGTAAATTATTGGATTATTGAATAGATTTTAAAGGCAAAAGTGGGAATTTGAATTTTTAAAAGTTAAAAGAAAAATTTTATTTTCAGATAAGATGATCTACAACAGTGGATTAAAATGATATTTTATATTAAATGATTAGATATTGCTATGATTATTATATATCGTTGAAAATTATGTTGAATCTACTTTATAATAAAACAAATGGAAGTCGAATATGAGTTTTTTTATGAAGAGTTATCTGTCTAATTTTTACCTAGGAATATGCAAGCTATATGGTAGCAGCATCAAGGTTGAATTATGAAAACTGTCTTAAATTTTATACAAGGAATCAAGAATTGAACCATATATTTTTGAAAATGTTATTGAGTCTACTTTTCAAAGAAATAAGTGGAATTGAATTTGGAATCTCTTATGAATAAATATATAGTTTTTATTAGAAGGTATACATACTGTCTGGTAGTAGCAAATGATGTAGATTGTAAAATTTTTTATAATTAATCTATAAAGAATTACGAGGTGGTTCATATATGGTTAGAAAACTTATCAAGTCTAGTTTCTAACGCATTAAAAAGAACTTAATTCCAAGTTGTATATATTGAGATATGATAATTTTGGTAAAAGTAGCGCAGGCTACTACAATTAGTTAGTTGAGTTAATTCTTGAATAACTTAGTTGTTTTTATTATAAATAGTCCAAAAAGGAGTTGATTAATTTTTGATGTGTTGAAATGATCTTGAATAGGTCATTAATTATTTTGAAAGAAAACTAAATAGTGAAATCAAAAGAAGGTAAGTATAATCTTATACACTTTGCTTATTTTCGAACCTATGTATATATGTATATTTCTAAATGAGTAAATGTTTTATTTTTTTATTTTTTATATATGAAAGTAGGATCAAGTATATAATTATTTTGTATTTTTGCTATGTAAATGATGAATCATGCTTTTGAATGAAATGAGAAATTATTTATGTTTAAAGAACGATTTTATGATAGCAACATTTTTACATTCTTCGAAAATGAGATCATTGACACCAGAATTAGTTCTACTGTCTTAGCTAATATGTTATAATAGTTAGCATAGCCATAATCATATAACCTTGCTAACAGATTAAAGTAGTTAACGTAAGCTCTGGTTAGCAGGTTATAATAATTAGTAATGATCATGAGGATGAAATTATCAATACGATCAATGTCATAGATTATAGCATTGATTGTAGCTAATGATAAAAGAATAATAATGATGATTTACGATATTTTTAAAAATTAATTCGTGATTTGGTTTGATTACAATATTTGAATGGTAGTATATTTTGAAATGATTTATGAATTGATATGTTTGATGTTGATTTGTGAGTTTACGAAATGTCTGACATAATGATGATTTTTGAAATATTTTGATATTATGATTTGAAAAATATTTTGAATGATCTATATAGTATGTATAAAAATGATGCTTGATTTGGTAAAATGTGTGAACCTATAATTGTTAAGCTGTAGTTTGCTCATTTCACTTTTTTTTTCCTATTACAGATGAATAAATAATAAGTGTACTTAGTTTTGTAAGAAGTTGAAAGATCAAAATAAAAAAGATTGTTTAGTCGTTGGAGATGATATTGACCAATGAGATCTTACAAAATGATTTTATATTTTTATTAGTTTGTATTTAAATTTTTAAATATTTATTATCAGTTATTAAAAAATTTTAAAATAATTAAAAAAATTTTTTCGTATTACTATGAAATTTTACTTTCAGATAATATGATCGTATTGTTTCTCGATCTTAGGGCGTGACAATATTTCTCTAGCTTTAAACCCATTTCTCATTCAACCTTTATATCTGCAAGATCTAAGTGTGTTTTTTGTATGCGTAATGAGTGTGCGTGAACAGTGTAAAAACTGCTGAAAATCACTATCTCTCCTAGCTAGTTTCTTAACCTATTATACCTTCATTTGGAAACTAATTATGCAGTAGAAAAGAAAACTCAAAAACCCTTTATTTTATGAACTCCCTAAATCACTTCCATAAGTCCAAAAATAAATAAACCATTAGCTAGCCTATGTAAGTATAACCCTTTAAGAACCATCTTTCGTTTAAAAGTGTGCGTAATCAATTTAACCATGCAGTATAGTCGCCATCTAAATTTAGCTTAAATATAAAGAATAAAGATTTTTGGAACTTTGGATGGAATTCTTACTCATAGTTCAATCCCTAATTCTCTCCTCCCCTGCTAAATTAAGAAAATAAAACCCTAATTAGTGCAGTTAAGTATCAGTAGTTATCAGATAATAATGTATCCATTTTTCAAAAATGTGAAAAAACCAATATTGCAGTCAGATGTTGCAGCATGTAGGCTACATAAATAACAACTAATGAAGCTGACCCCCCTAACCCCTCTAAAAAGGAATGGTATAGGCTAAAAAGAGAACATATTTACATATAGATATATATGAGCATGCAGTTTTTGAGTGATTCAATTAATTTCAACAAATTTCATGAAACAAACTACTAAAGAAAATGCATAGAAACTATATAGGGATATGTATATTTCCATAAAAAGTTTTTGTTGATCCACAAATTCAAGTGCCTCCAACTGCTATTCCAAGATCATGTGCTAATGTTCATGTGAAGAATATGGGAAAAAACATCACAGATGGTCAGTTGTTCAAAACTTTAATGATGAAATAAATACTATCATTTTATGCCACAGTAATTCCAATTAATACCAACCTTCCAAGCTAATTATTTGACACTCACACACACACACACACACACATAATGAGCATATATGGGTAATTGCTGTTTAACATCCCGGTTTGATCATAATTTTGGAAAGTGAAGAAGCAACTCTAGATATTTTGTTGGCAAACAGGCTGGAAGATTATGCTTCCTTTTAACTCCATACTAATACAAAGTAACTGCTGAGTGCTCAGACATTAGAACATATAACTGAGGATGGTGTTATATATTCCCAGATTAAGCTGATGACAAGGCTAAACTGGAAGAATTTTTAAGTCTTTAGGGAAGAAGTTAATATATCCACCCTGAAAAGCAATAAAATCATGCATCTTATGTATATTATACACCAATATTAAATTAACGACAGTTTCTTTTGTTTCCTCATTACATGATCATTGACAGAAAACAAAATAATGAGGTGTGTGTAGCCTTTGAATTTATGCAAAAAAGGCTCTTGATACTGATCATGCTTTGTGTTAAGGTCATTTTTCTTTTTATTTCTAATTTTTACTAAGCTCAACGTACAGAAATAAATTTATTAATGCGACAAAAATAAAGCAACAAGATCGAAACAAGTACCATACCAAACTTGAAATAGCCTGAAAAACTGGAAAAAAAAAACTTGAATTTTATTTGTGTGTCAAGGTGTATGTTTAAGAAAAATAATTTGCTGATTGTATGACTAAATAATTGTATTTAACTGTTTCTTTGAAGTTACTGAAAATGAAAAACACTTAA